ACAATAACAAAACAAAAAAAATGAATCAGGTTTATGTTAAGATTAGTGTTGACAAAAAGCAAAAGGAAAGATAAAAACGAACGTAATTGATTATCAATTGTGTGAAACTTTAAATCTGTCATTGTTTTCGACTGTGATATAGACAATAAAATTTTACTACGGAAATACTTAATCCTTTTACTTATCTGAAAAATATGTACTTTAAAATGACATATACCTAAGTGAAATAAACATTCGAATAACACTCAGAGCAATGTCATCGAATTTAAATCATCTTGAAAAATCAAAAATACGAAGAAGACTTGCTGCTGTATCTTTCTTATCAAATATTTCTCTCGATGGAACACATCGAGATACTATTTTCGGGACGAAAATTTGTAATCGACGTCCTTCAAAAAGAACATTTATTGAAACTGAGAATATTGAAGAAAATCGTAAGAAAATTTGTAATTAAATAAGTGGAATAATATAAAAATTAACAAAATACTAATAAATCGTTTCAGCAAAAATAAATCAAGAAGTTGACAGACTTTCGACAAGTTCCGAATCTGAATGTGCAAAACTTTCATCTTCAGCTCCAAAAGGAGTCTTAAACTCTTTGATAAATTTCCAACCTTATCGAGAGCGAGGTAGAACCATCAGTAGTTCAAATGAAACCATCTCTGAACGACGTCAAGCTTTAATACTTAAGCGCGCTCTTTGTACATGTCCGACACCGTCTCACTTAGCCACATCATCTAATGAGTCACTTTCTCAACGATCAAAATGTGTACACATCCACGATCCATCACCACCATTGAGATGTTCGACTCACTCTACTGTCGATGCTCGATGTGTCATAACAATTCATCAGAAGCCTCTTCATGTATTTTCTATCATCCCATTCCGAAAACGTATGTCAAGCTCAGCGGTAAAAGCTAAAGAGAAACTAGAAGGAACTCGAAGATTACGTCAAACGTCAACATCGAGGCCAATGTCGAGTATAGGCGATAATCATAATCAACCATTCGATCCATTCAATTTACTTGGAATTGAAAGAAGAACTGACGGTGGACAAGAGATTTCTTACGGATATTTATTAGTGCCATCAAAAGCGCTTGGAGGAAAAAATGCTGTAAGTAATTTTTGTTTTGTCTTGTCTCATAATTTTGTTCGCAACGGAACTTATCTTTGGATATGAAAATAGTTCGAAATTTGTGATAAGAACAATTTTCAGTCTCGTCATCATCACGAGCGTCATTTAGACACATTGACACTTCAAAATCATGGAATGTTTCGATTTGGAAATTATGATGAAGGTGAAGACGACCCATCATATTCTGCTGATCTTCTTGATGACCCAGAACTTATCGGAGGTCGTCATCGGACTTTACTCACTTTCACCAGCTACTTAACAAGTGTCATCGATTATGTTCGTCAAGCCGATCTTAAGAAAGAGCTCAACGATAAATTTCGAGAGAAATATCCGCATATTAAGTTAACTTTAAGTAAACTTCGGTCGATTAAACGAGACATGAGAAAAATTAACAAACTGGATCCAAAAATTGATCTGCTCTCAGTAGCTCAAGCTTATGTGTATTTCGAAAAGTTGATTCTTGCTGGATTAATTAACAAGATAAATCGGAAGCTTTGCGCTGGTGCATGTTTGCTGTTGAGTGCAAAATTAAACGACGTCAAAGGTGAAACTTTGAAGGGTTTGATTGAGGTAACAAAAATTCCTTAAATTAATTTCATTTCTAAAATATCTTTTATTTAACATTCACAGAAAATTGAAAATATTTTTCGAATCAATCGAAAAGAATTAATTTCTTCCGAATTTGCTGTTCTGGTGGCCCTCGAATTTAGTCTCCACGTTCCGACAAGTGAAATTCGACCACATTATGAACGATTGAGATTTGAAACATGATTGTTGTATAAATTCTAAATAAATAGTGTAAAAACTGTAAATCTGTTGAGTTTTCTCTTTTATTTTTTATCATTATTAGGGAAATTATTTCTTTCTTTTTAAGAAGCATCGTTAAAATGCTTAAATCACAAAGGGGAATAAACAATTTACAAATAAATATTTAAAGGTCATTTTATCTTGCGTAGTGACATGGAAAACCATAAATATTTTCATTAACAAAAAAGAAACAACAAAAGATCATAAAAATCACTGAATTGTTAAAGTAAACAAACACGTTAGTTAAAGAGAAAAACAAAATAATTTCCCTCAAAAATATCTCAATTCAAACATAAATTCTTATGATTCATGGTGAAAATTACAGAATTTAATGTGAACATATCAACTAAACTGGATAGATTAAAAGAAAAACTTCAGTGAAACGAAAAACAATATTTGGAAATGGCTGGAAATGGAAAACATAGAAATTATGGAAATGATAAGAAAGAATATTTCCAGTGTTTTTAATCTCGAAATTTGATACGACGAAGAAATCTGATTTTAGAAAATTCAGCCGATTCCTTTTTTATTCGATACTTGAAAAGTGTTAATTAAAAATGCAAAATTTGAATTTTTTTTGTCATAATCTCCAATAGCATGAAATAAAATCTAAAATCCAAAATAATTTTTTTTAAGTAACAATATTCATCGAATCAATAATTTATTGCTTAATAGTTTGTCTTCCGCAACTTCTTCTACTCCAAAGAAGGAAAAAGATATTTATCTGAACAACAACATGTATGGAATTTGCTTTAGTCAACCGAAATTTCCCTTTCGGGAAAACCTCTCAATAACAAGGAACGACAATAAAAAGGAATTTCTCTTAACATGAAAATTTGACTTTGTCTTCAACCTCAGAAGGAAATGTTTTTCTTAACATTTTCTTCTCTTTCTTGAACTTGAGTTGAACACGTTATGTTTCCTTTCTACATTAGCAGCAGCGTTTTCTTAGAAGCACAAAGGGTATGAGATGAGGAGGGAGATTGGGAAAGGAAACAAGGTTCAATGATAATTAAATTAAGAGAAGACAAAAAGATTGTAAACGATATGTTTAAACAAGAAATATTCGGGTAGGCAAAGGGGAGAGAAAGGGAAACGACATAAAAACAAACCCTCATATATGAGAGTGGAAATGAATAAATAAATCCATTAATAACCGTATTGCCTTGTCGTTACAATCCGACAATAAAGTTCTTCGACTCGGGATAAAAGTTAAACAAACATGAATGTTGAAGAATTTCTCTAGAAAGAGTTTGTCGTCTTTAGGAAAACATGGAAAAGTTTCTAGAAACAAAAAGTAATGAATATTTAATTATTTGAATTTATGAAATAAATTACGAAAGCTTTAGTAGAATAAGAACAGATTGAAGGAGGTAAAGTTGCAGGTAATTATATTAATCTAATAACAGGAAAAGTTTTATCCAGACAAGAATTTTCCTTTCTTTTTTATTGTCATTTTAAATTAAAATAATTTTTGAAACCAATGATTCAAACAAAATGTTTCGTAGGAATTTCAATCTTTGATACATTTCACATTCAATAAAGTTTCCATCACGTTTTATGATATTTACATCCCCATCTCTTTTCACCTCGAGGTGTTTATTTTTTTTTATCTAAGGCAGCTACGACTTCCACATCAAGAAAAAACCGCAAAAAGTGCTGACGTGGGAAAAATATTTAATATTGGGACAATGTTTTTTCCCATTCACACTGCTATGAGTCACAAACGATAAATGGAGATGCGGGTGGATGTACACGTTTTGCAGAAGGAAATTTAAATTTCCCTTTAAGATGATGGCAAGAAAGTTGCGTTGAAAATGTAACATATTTAAATATGTGAATGTAAACAAACGTTATTGCCGAAAAAGTGAATAAAAAGACGCGTATTTGAACCAAATCTCGAAGTGAAAATATTTTTCACTGATTCTTTAAATTCATAAACGATTTCAATATCATAAAAATAAAAAAGGGATGTTTTTCGCACAAAAAAAGAGTGTTTATTTCATTTAGCATTTAGTTGTTTTTCATATCATCATGGGCCTTCAGGACATGTAAATGATTTGATGATGACCATGTTCATCGGTTTGCTTTTTCCTTCGCATTTTTTTTTTGTCTGAAGTTCATTTTTTTATATAATTCAATGTTTTATAACTTTCCACTCGTTTAACTTTTCAACAAGCAGAAACAAATTGAAAAATATAACGTTTGTTATGTGAAAATTAAATCAGAATGAAAACTCTGAGTATAAAAAAGAGTCTACCAAATACATTTGAAATAATCGCAATGATAATTAATCTTGTCTATGTTTTCTTATGTTGTTATTTTAAACAAAATTATCAGTGATACCGTCATTGACGCATATTCCGTACTAATGCGAAACATGTAGATACATAAAAGGGACTACATTTTTGTGATAACTTTTTTTCTGCTTATTCAGTAAATGTTTGTAATTCAAGAATCTTTCGTTTACTGCTTTTACTTGCCGAAAGCTATATTAACGAGTTTTAAAACAAGCAGAAGCATCAAACAACATTAAATATTTTAAGCTGATGCAAATAACATTCAAAGAGATTTTTTTCAATAATGTTTATGAAGTTTTAAGTTTTAGAAGGATATGAAATGTAACATTGACCTATTAAATAAATTAATTTCTTTCTGCCGTTTACTCTTTATCCATCAGAACGCTATGCTTGGCAATTTGAGATAAGAGCTTCAGAACCACATATTTTTGAATAAAAAATTTCGAAATAAATAGATACCTATTTACGCTCGAAGAGACACAAAATTATCCAAACGTTTGAAGAAAAGTTTCGCCTTATCTTTCGGGCTATTAAAAAATTAAAAAAAGGGTGAAAAGCGGCGGCTGTGTCTCATCTTTAATTGTTATTCTTGTTTTCATGCTTTTATTATTTTAAGAGAAGAATAAACAGCGACACAAATAGCCACAGGGAATTGGAAAAGAACTTTTTTCATAATTTTTCATCGCCTCTTTTCCGCTGTTATGTTGACTGAATAAGCGTAAAGAAGCAATTTTAGATTTTTAAAGGAAGTTGAAACATTTTAAACAATTCAAACTTTTAATTGTTCATTTTTCGAAGAAGAAATAAATAAATAGCGAATTGTGAATGCTTTAAACTTTTATTTCACGATTAATTAAATTTTAATGTTTTCAAAGAAAAAAAGAATTATCGAATTAGGTAATAGCTAGTAGGTAGTTTAAGTTTCAGAAATAGGTATGTTTTACTTTAAGAATAAAGTTATAAATACGGTTATTAAATATAAATACGATTGAAAATCTCCTGTGAAAAATTCAAAAATGAAAATAAAACTTTTTAAATTTCATAATATCGAGACTTGACTTGACAACAGGAAACGCCATCTTCATGTGAAATCGTTTGAACTGAATCGTATTATGAATTTCAAAATTTTTTTTCATTTGATTTATAAACTGAAAATGTTGAACTTAACAACTTTCATCCAATTTTCTTTCAAAAGAATGTAAGGTGAAATAGTTAAGCATTTTAAGAACTTCAAACATCAGAAGTTTTTATTTTTGAAGTTTTAATTTGAAATTTTTACGTAAAGTAAACTTTATTGACATACGTTGATATTAATTTTACATTTTTCTATCTCATTACACGGATATTCAAAGTAATACGTGCAATATTGAACTAATTAATGATCGTAGGAAAAAATTTGAATTTTAATTAACAGCAGCTGGAACTGGTCCCCCTGTGGGTGGTTCTTCAGTAGGTGGATCTAAGATACATGAAACTCCTGGATTGTCTCTATTTTGACATCTTCTACTGTTAATATCAAAAATAAGTTCATCTCCACATGCTCTCATGAATGAAAGATCCCCAGCACAGAAGAAATAAAATTCGCATGAATCAGGATGGGGAAGTGCTAAACCGTTACTCTCCTGACAATCGATAGAATCTTTATCTGGTATTTGTGGCGTGTTTTCGGGTATGAGTTGCTGGAATTTAAATGAATGTGCAATTGTGTTTGGTTGATTATTTTTTAAGCTTAAAAATGATTTGAAATAAATTGAATTACCTTGCAGTCTGATTTTTCTTGTAAATCACACCATCCTGCTTCGGGAAGAAAATGTTGTCCTAAAAGGAATTCATAGCTCTTTAAGCAGATAATTTTAAAAGTGTTTTTGACACAAACCTGGAGCACACATGAGTGGAAGTAAACTATCACCAATGCAGATGTAATATGCTCGACAGTCTCGAGAGCTTGCAATGAAAAACGGAATATTCCCATTCCCACTTCCTTCACAGAGTGATTGATCCAATTTACAATCAGCCAGGAATGGATCGACACATTTTTTCTCATAGGTTGAGAAATGTAATCCTTGTGGGCAATCTCGATCATTTTGAAGTCCATCGAAGCAAACTAAAAATAAAAATTAATTAAAATAATTAATGCGACATATTTTATGATTTATTGAAATTATAAGATACTTCATTTTGAAAAAACATTATTTAATGCAGGAAACATTTTGATAAATGTTAATCTTTATTAGGGTGGAGATTGATAAGATAACATTGTCAGTGTACGCAACTTCCGTTATAAGAACTTCAAAATATGCAATAAATTAAGATTAGATTGTAAAGGAAACTCACCGGTATATTTAGAACATGTGTAAGGATGCGGAATAACTGAAATTCCAACCTCGTTTGGGCAAACAACATCAACCCAACGATCATCTAAATCACATTCCACATCTTCTGGATTGCTACACATTTGATCTTCTTCATTGAACCATAAGTTTCCAGGACCTTGAAAATATTTCAGTTAAGTGTCAATTACAGTGAAAGAAATTAGCAAAATCCTACATCTATCTTCACTTTCGACATTTCCTTCTTCATCACACCTAAAGTACCAAGCACAACCTCGAGTGTTTCTAGAAAAATGTACTTCATCAAGTTCAAGGCAGCGTTCATCTCGAAGGCCTTGCACATATTTTCTTTGTTTTGCTAAGTTCTTTTCAACAACATCAGCGGAAGTAAAAGTAATCAAAACGATTACGAGAATAATTTTTAACATTTTTGGATATTTCACTTTAACTTTTAAACCGTTAATGGTTAAACACGTACTGAAAATTCAGCTTGAATTCAGTTTTTTTTACTTATTTTAACATACAATCTTATCATAATGATGAAAAGGATAAAAAGATTAAAAACTTATCTGACATTTCAATGATATTTTCATTTAAAGCCTTGATAATTTATAGAAATCTTAGGAATTCTTTGATAAATCAAGAAATGAGTGGAAGTAATCATTCGACAGTCGGATAGTGATAAAAGGCGGAAGACATTCATCAAACTGATGTCAAAACTTGCGGCTACTTAATAAATACGAATTAAATTCCTTCACTCATTTTAAACTCAATTTAGGATTACAATAGAAATTTATTAAGGATATTCCTCATGAATATCTGAACAAAGATTAGATAATGACAAGTCATTGAGTAAAACCAGCTAAATTTTCAGTTAATCCCATGTAGAGAACTTTATTTTTAATCGAATTACTTTTGAATAAACATTGTAAGGATTGTCTTGTAAACTACTTGATCTTGACGTAGATATTTTTCAAGTTCTTTCCAGAATTTCAGTTATTATGGCTCTACTGGTGGTGCATCTAAAAATAATAGAAAACATTAGTGATGAGATATGTCATATGAAGACACAAGATCGTGGAAGAAAAAGTTGAACATTCTTTTATAATTAAACAATAAAAGTACCAGTTTCTGCTGGTGGAACATCTGTGATGCATATTGGACGTGGATCACTATCTTCAATCTGACATCTAAATGTGTCAATGTCAAAAATTAAGCCATCCCCACACGATCTCAGATATGAACGATTGTCAACACAAATAAAGTAAAAGGCACACGCAGAAGGATGTGGCACTTCCAAAGCTTCGATATTTGTACAGTCCATAAAAATTTGATCGGGAAGAGGATCATCAAGTTCCTATTAATGACATTGGGAGTGAGAATATGTTTCTTGTTAATAGAAAATATTTCAATGTTTTACTTCGCAATCATTAAGTTCACACCATGCCGAAATAGAATTGAAACCCTGGCCTAAAATAGTTTATTAAAATTTATTTTTTAAAAAGATTCCAAAACGTACCTGGAGAACATCTCAATGGAACTGCTGTTGCACCAGCACACACGTAGAAAGCACCTTGAGAAATAAATTTCAAATTTTTAAAAGCTTCGAGAGGAAAAAAAATTAAAATATTTACCGCAATCTTTAGAATCACCCACGATAGCTGGAACACCACTTTCCACAGACTCCTTACACAAATTATAATCAATCTCACAATCAGCTAAGAAAGGATCGACACAATCATTTTCAAACATCGAAAAATGTTGACCAGGTGGACAGTCGCGATAAATTTCATCGCCATCGAAGCAAACTAATTGATAAAATTGATTACTTGAGTTACATGTGATTGAACAGGAGTCTTAATTTTATTATTTGTCTGAATTATGTGCCATTCACTTCTGATAAGATAAAATTCTTTGTTGAATTCTCCGATTATGGGTCTTTTTTTCCAGAAGTATTTAAAGTTCAATGATGTCATTAAAATGAACAATAAACTCACCGGTAAATTTAGAGCAAGTGTAGGGGTGTGGAATTAATGAAATTCCAGATTCCTCTGAACATTTTGCATTTGCCCATTGTTCATCTAAATAACACTCAACGAGATCTTTCAAGTTACAATTCTGATTCTCTTCATCGAAACGATGTCCAGTAGGACATCTGTCTTCTCTAATGACTTGTCTATCTTCATCACACAGGAAATACCAGGCACATCCTCGATTGCTTCTAACAAATTGCGATTCGTTGTCCATGCAAGCATTTTCTTGACTTTCTTTCATTGCAACCACTTTAGAGTAGAGTAAGAAATCTTCCACACTATCTGCTTTTATTTTTGCCAAAAGCAAAATACAAATTAAAGTTAAAACTTTCAACATTCTTCTCGAGAAATGTTTATTCTTGTTAAGCAAAGGAGTATCAAATACTGAATGAAATGGACAAACCTTGGTGCTTAATAAAATCCAATCTTATCTTCAAAAGCTTTATCACTATTTTAAAAATAAATATAGTAAATAAATTATCGCGTTCATTTGTATTTAGTAGGCTTTAAGGTTTACCGATAAGTTGATTTAGAGTTCAAGTGCAGTTTTATTAATCTTTAATTCCAAGTAATGTTATCTTAAGTAGCTGGTTTTTCTCTGTGTGCCCCAAATATCCTCTCAGATAAAGATATCAATCAGTGATGTTCAATGATTTTAGATATTTTTTACAACTATTACTATTACTATTTAATGAAATATTTGTTTTATGACATCAAATCGATTATAAGTGTCAATCAAACAATGTTAAGTTAATGGTTATTGACGGTTTCTTAATACTTTAGCAGAATTTGAGAGCTCTTTGTGTGAAAATTAAGTTTGGTATTCATGTTTGTTAAAACAAACTTTAGAAAATGAATAGAAATGTTTGCTACTCGTCACAATACACGCTGATACATTTTCGAGAAAAGACCATGGCATCAGTTTTAATCATTGCATTGGAAGAGATTAAAAATGAGTAAAATTTGATTCATTACTTCGAGAGATTATTGTGAGAAGGTAATTTGGAACAATGAATGCATTGAGGCATAAATTATGGAAACTGCGCACATTTTCAACCCCAAAAATTCGTCATTTTCACCTCTTTAACGAGAGTTTAAATTAACACCAGATACTCATCCATTTAATGTTTATCACCATCTGAAATAAAATTCAATTAAAATTCCTTTTGTTCTAGGAACTTCACAATAGTAATGTAATAAAAAATTCATTTCACAATTCTGTTCTCAACAATTCTTCAGAATGATTTTCCTTTATTTAGAATCTTCTTCCTTGAATCTAAATGAATATATTTAAGTTTTCTTTGTACATAATTTGAGCAGATATCAAAATGTTTTCTACTGCAAACTTTTCTTCTCTTCTCTTCTTAAGACAAATAATTAATTTTATAGAAACCATACATTTTTATTTAATCGATTGGTAACCCTTAATCTAAAAAGTAATTATTTCTTCTTGGATTTCTTATCGAGATAGTGAAGTCTTAAGGGCGAGTTTAAGTATTTATGAAATAATTCATTGTTTTTTGATTTTAACGACTCTGACCTATGAAATAATTATAAAATTAATGAAGGAAAAATAAAACACATTTGGTTAGTTCTCATATTCGATTGAGCCCTTAACTTATAATAATACTTACTACATGCTAGTTAAGCTTGCCAGATAAATAATAAATAAAGTTGATTGAAAAAACTCAATTACATTCATATCTGTTGGCAAATTCGAGGCGAATTGTTCCTTATCTATACATTCTATAAAAACAATCCTTTGAGTCATACTTACTTAAATAGTTATTCAACGATTTGTTTGAGTATTAAGATCAACCATTTAGACGTTAATATAGGAATAATTTATAAACTTGTTTAAATATTTTCTTGCGTGTAACTTAATTTAGAATTCTGTACATTTAGGCATCGACCATCGTTGTTTTTCTTAGTTTTCTTTTAATTATTACTCATCAAAATATGAAATTTTGGGAGGGAGGGGGGTTTGTTTATCGCTTCAAATATTTAGGTAAATATATGTTTACTCATGTCTACTTTACTTTATAAACTAACATAGATATTAAAGTTAAAGTTATGCTTGTCAAAGTTTTAAACTAAGATCACAATGTAAATATTTATGAACTAAAAGCACAAGAAATCGAGTTTGAGTGCATTTTGTTTAGCTTATAGCACATTCCAAATGATTTATTTTCATTTTATTACATATTGTGCAATTAAAAAGATTTGTCTAAGTCTTCTCTGATCATTAAAAATATTTATGTTCATGTAAATAAAAAAAAATATTTAAATACTTATGTAGACTTTTGTCATGGATACATTTTATAAAATCATAATCATAATCATAATTATTTAATTAATTAATTATTTGTATTTGGCAAGTAGAAGTAATCTTTATGTTAGCTCTTAACTAGACATTTATGTTTTATCTTTTCTTTTATTATTGTTTTCAGTCATATGAACGAACGAAATGTTTTCGTCAAAATAGTTTTGCGAAGTATTTAGAAATTGATCAAACAAAAATTCATATGGTTGTCCCTGAGCTTCTTCAGTGACACATATTTTTGTTCAACTTAATTGATAATTGTAAATCCCGTTATAAAATGAGATAAAATGACATTTTCAACAATGAATTTAAATATTTTTTATGCTATCAACATCAACTTGAATTTGACTGCTCATTGCTGTTTGGCGTTGCACTGCCATTACCACCTCTCGTTGTAAATTCAAGCTTTATATTTGCTGTAGCTGTAACTTTTGTATTTTGGTGGCCATGTTCATTATGATGGGTTTCAACAGTAACTTCAGGTTGAACAATGATACTTTTGAATGCTGGTTGGTTGGCATCGATTGAAATGCCATCGTTATTTGAGTCAACCTTGTTGGTGTTACTTTCTCGTTGAAAGTTATTATGGACTCGAGGAAGTGGAAACTTTTTAGATTTATTACTGACATTGCCGTCACTTATGTTTCCATCCCGATAACTTGCGTTTGATATTGAAGATGCTGATGATTGCCATGATGATTGTTCTTCGGTGATTGTTGTCAATGAAGGTTCATTGTTTAAGTTTGTGTTTTTGATATGACAATGATGAGATTTCTTTCGACACGAACGTTTCCCGTGAAGATTGATTGCTTTCTGTTTATGATTTGATGATCTTAATTGAGGTGAAGGAGTTGAAATTCGGTTAACATGATTATGTGGAACAAGCTCTGGTGCAGGTCCAAAGAGCAGGAGAAGAAGTGGGAAATGGAATAAACTGTTAACAGCACATAAAATCCAAAAGCTTATCAGCAAAAGAAAGAAATGCTTGACGATGAACTCAAATGGTGAGAAGAAGAGAATCAGCAAGATGAGTATACTTGTAGCGATTCCATGAAGAATGTATGGAGTTGTGTGTTCAAGCGATAGACGCAAACGTCGATCACGATTACCAATTGACGTTAAGAATCCCTAGAAAGAGAAGACACAAAAAATGAGTTTTAAATATTAAAAGAAAATTTGAATAACTCACCAAAGTTACATTTGCTGTGAAGCAAATACTTAATCCAATACTTGCAACAAGAACAACTGCAGCAATAGCAGATAGTTTGACATCAAAGAGAAGCATTACACCAAACAGTTGAGAGAATACAAAGATTGCATTGACGACAATCAACAAAGCAGCAGGAATTGATTGCAAGAAGATCAATGCGAGAATAAATGTAATGATGATTGATCCGATGAGTGCAATGATGATAAGTAAATCAAGATTAAAGTATTGAGCCCAATAAAGGAACGGAATTCCTGATGGATAGTTTGGGAGTCCTTTCGCACTGAAACGATCACATAGTTCTCGAATTTCTTCAATCACCATTTTGATATCTTTCGTTGTGTAAAGTCCATGCAAGTAGAAAGGAAGTTGCGTGTAAGTTAAAGGCGCACTTTTTGGTATTTCCATATGTTTGTCTTTCGGTGAATGAATCCACATTCGAGGCGATGGTCGAAGGTTGCTTTGTGATGCTCCATAAGCGGCATCGTTCCATGCCCATGCTGACAAATAATTATAAAAAGCTTTTGGATTAATAATTCCATGGGCATCAACTAAACGATTCCGTGTAATCAAAGATTTGTCGATAGGATTGTCAACATGTCCAGTTTGTGCAAGTAATTTAAATGCCAGAATCCCATCAACAGAAGCATTTCCATACCATCGCTCTTTCGATATTGATCCACTCGCATAATCTCGATCGAAAGCATTTTGAAGTGTCATCAACCAATTGCTGAAGAGATTCAACCAGAAATCGGGAAGTCCGCCATTGTCATTCTTTATGATATGCGGCACTCGGATGAATGATTCATGATATTCACGTAGCAGTTTCTGATTTTGTGGGTATTCAAAGTTTCCTTGCGTTACTGCGAAAATATTGTAGAAACCAAACAATTTGCTTTGAGCGCTAATGAAATTGTATTCGCTGGTATTTCGTGGAATCAAATCGGTCAACTCAAAGCCATCTTGAAGCTTCAATGTTGCATAAATGGACGAACCAAGAAGCGCAACAATTGTCGTCATACCAAGAACTTTCATTTTGCCATTAAGTAAAACATCAACATAAGTTTTAACGTTAAATCTCGTCGCACATTTTCTTGACTTTCCTCCATTTTGCTGCTGATTAGGAAGTAGCGCATCTTCTTTACTTAAATCATTGATTCGCACATCTCTCGTTGATGAATTTAAAGGTTCCATTTGTCGACTCTTCGCATCACAAATTGGAGTTGTAAAGTGTGGCAGACAACAAAGAATGTCCAAATGTGATGAACGTCGTCGTCTGAGGTCAAGTGTTATGAATGCCGGGAACACGAAGAGAACTGTTACAAGATTAATGGTTATGAGAATTGCTGATTGCATTGCAAAAGCTCTTAAGACGGGAATTGGAAGAAGAGCCGCTCCTAAAAATGCTGTCGCAGTTGACGTTCCATTAAATAATATGCTGAGTCCATATTTCTTAAGAATTTGTGCTGTGTGCATTTGCTCGTTGCTATTTCGCCTCGAGTCGTAACCATGAGTCAAAATAAAGATTTGATCAACTGCAAGTCCAAGTGCTATTAAAGGAACAACTTGAGTTGTTGCAACATTGAACGGAATGCCAAGAAGTGAACAAACGCCAAGACCAGCTGCTGTTGATTTACTTAGCAACAAAACACCAAACATTCCAACACCACTCTGACCATTCACTGGATCACCAAAGCGATAAAGTACCAAGCCAGTGTACACAAGAATGACAAGGACGCAGATAGTTAAATGGTAAAAGTTTGGCTTCGAATGATGACGAAGACTGTCATTGAGTGTTGACGAACTGAATGCGTTAAAGTCATAAGCAGCAAAAGTCGAGTTGCCTTCTTCGCGCATCAATTTCCTTACCTGAAAATAAATTTCTTGTATTAATTTTATGTTCCACCAACAATTAAAATCAACTTACTTCATTGGAAAACTTCTCTTGCCATGCATTTAGAATGTCACGGGCCTTTTTAAGAGTCCAACCGGCATAATGAGTCTTGTAATTGTCGTTCCAATGATCGAAAAGTTCTTGTTCACTCATCAGTTGAATGACAGTTTGTAAAGCTTTCGCTTTACGTATATGATTTGTTGAATTCTTTTCAGACCCTCCAACAATTAATTCTTCTGGCCAATGCATGAAATTAACGGCGTAGCCATAACAACCCCCACTTAAGGCTGCTCCTATATCGGGTGCTAATCTTGATCTCTTATTTGGTGCAGTGTTGGGACAATCTTTGTCAGATGGATTCAGACATGGCTTCTTTATGTAACCACTTGAAATACCGGCTTGCTTCATATACTGTTCGACCTTGGCAATCATCCCTTGATCGGTTTTTCCAAACTTTTCCTCATCATTCTTACTCATTTCACGAAGAGCTTCATCGAAAAGCTCCATGGGATTAAGTGATGACCAACTTATTGTTCCATACTTTTCATTAATCATTCTGAAAGTGATAGACAAACATTTTTTATTTATTTATTTGCGGTCATAAAATTATTTATAGCAGAGGAAGGGAATTCACAGTTTTTAAACATTCGACTTCTAATGATTGTGTGCGGTTTAGAAAAAGAATAAACTGTTGAAATGTGCTTCGAGTGAAATAAATAAAAATTAAAGGTTGAAAATGAAATCATAAATGTCGAAAAAGTTATAAAAATTAATTTAGTTTTATTGCTTATCCAACCTTGCACTTTAGTCGGGTGCATAATTAGTTACTTTACTTTCTATGGAATGTCGTCAATAGAGAAAGTTTATGAAGAAATTATAAGGATATGAAAATGCCTAAAGTTGACTTGGTTTGAATCGGTTCAAAACTAAGTTAAATCGATTAGTTTGTTAACATTGTTCTTCACATCTTTATTATTACAAAACACAAAAGCATCTCAATGGCGAGAAGAAAATCTCAGAATTTTTTTGTTCATCTTTTTCTCGAAATCGAAATGAGAATTTTTACGCTTCTTCATTCTTGTCTTGTGCTGGTTTCCAATCATATGATGGAGACCGTAAAAAATGAGTGTTATGCGTTGTGTGTCTCAATTCGTAGTATTTTTTCTTTCTTTTTCGCTTCGCTTTCTTTCATGATCGTCCCGTCCCGGTGAAGACCTCCCGAGAAAAAAAAAAACTTCTTCGTCTCCATTAAGACATTAAAGAAACATCGATTCTATCAGGTTTTTTATGGCGTTTTTTTCGTTCTTTCTTTTCTTCTCTTCTTTTTCTTATTTAAGTTCTTAAGCAAGCTTTTAAATCTTTATTTCAAACAAATAATTTTCAACATGACTTTCGATAAAAGGAAGAGAAGACAGATTTAAATGTTGGACTGATTTGATGTTGAATCATGTCAACAATGTATAAATAAACATTCAAAATTGACTACTTACGGAATATGTGGATCTCGATCGGGACCTAACAGTTTACTTCCTTCCCAAAAGCAGTCGAGGGGAGTTACAATAGCACATGGAATGACCATTTCGAGGATTTGCTCCATGAAATGTTCGTCAAATCGAGGACTTGACGGAAGTTGGCACAAGTCTTTTAATGTCCATGTAACTTCACCAATGTACACTTCCACTGACAAAGCTTGCTTCACAACCCTCAGATGTGCCAGCAGCGCTTGATCATACAGAATTGTCGCATTTTCGTTTTTCACTGTTTGTATAAGTAGCTGATTATTAGTTGAGGTATCCATATAGCCTAAAGATGATTCAGTATAAGCGAGCTCTTGCTCCAGACTTCCACCAACTTCTAGCCAAAGTTGATTCACATTCGAATGGATGATTACAGACTTCAGACCGACACAAAACGTTCCCAACACAAGAAATGCCATGAATATAATTATGCCAGCATGCTTGTCAATACTTCGGCCGAGTTTAAAGAAATGTGACTGGAATAGATGACGTAAGTAAATTGATGTTCGTCGGCCATCAGCTTTGTTCTAAAATTGAAAAGAAAAAGAAAAATTGAATTATGTATGATTGAAATTAGAATAAGGAAGAAGAAATTGCAGCGGATATAACAACTTTAATTTTGATAAAGCATTAAACCGGATGTCGATCATGAAAAAGACTTATAAACAATTGATTTTTTTTATTCAAGAGTGTTCATCTAGTTGAGCATTTATTTAAATGTGTTCATACAATGAAACGAAGCATGAATAATAACTTGAAAGGTTCTTTTAAGATTTTTCAAAACAGATAATTCTTAAATAACACTCAATAACGTTCTAAGAGTTGAAAGCGGAATTACTTACAACGACAAGTAAATTTATTTCATTAATTTGGTAAATTTTATTTCATAGGGAAATAATTTTAAAGAAAAAACTTGCTATGTGAAATACTACAATGATCTTATTTAACCAAAAATCGGATAGTCGGAAATATTTGATTATCCATCATAATGAAAGTATATAAATTCCTAGTTATGCCACTTTCATTTAGATTCTTTATAACGCGGTCTGATCAAAGTTTTTTTTATGTACGTGTATGTAGGTAGACTGTCAGCGAAGTTGATCAAAACAAAATATTTAAACCAAAGAAACAAAGTTTCGAGTAAATTCGTTTATAAAAAAATTCAAATATTTCTTAAGTAAACATGCGAGTAACTAATATTGCACTGATAATAGAATTTCTTTTAAAAGAAACTTCAGGAACGTTCGTTGTTATTCTGTTGACTTTAATCTTGATTTGCATCTTTACTTTAGCCGCCAGAATGTGAGAATCAAGAAGAAGGAAAATATTTACATTTTCTTTCTTCTCAGCGCTCAACTTATTTTTTATTATAAGTAATTAGGTAGCTAAATTAAGACCCAGGTGAATATTATATATATCGTTCAATTTGACAAAATGATCAATATTTCTTAATTAGATTTGTTCAATTTTTTGAGCAACTTGTTCATTGCTATAATTATTAAATCTATTTAATATATACAAATACAATGGATCACATCACAAGGATCATAAGCTGATGATCGGTTGCACAAACATGAGACTACGAGAGAATCTTAGAGAGAATATTTGGAAATAAGAGAGGAAGAGAATAACTTTTAAGAGACAATTCAGTAAGGGGATATCCATGAATGAAATCAGACGACAAAATCAGGAAATTTTTCTAAAAGTATTCAACAAAAAAGACTTATTTCATATTGTTGTAATCTAGGAATTTTATAGTCCTTTCAATAAATAAATCAATTAAAACTTATAGATATATGTAAGAATTAAAATACTGTTTAACCAGAATTGTGAATCTCCCCTTACAAGAGAGCATAAATTCATTAAAAAGAATTCTTCGTTGGAGGTTTCAATAATCAAACATATCCATTAAATAATTTTTTCTCTTGCATTACGTATGAATGTTATGATTTAGATAAGGTTTGAATTTTCTAGTTTTAATGTTATTCAAAGAATTGATGAGTTTTTAAAAACATTTTAAAACAAGCTGCTAAGCAGAAACCAAAATAAATTGTCAATTATTTTATTCGAATGAAAAGAGTATTTGAAGAAGGATCTTCACTCTGCAAGAAAATGAACAAAAAAACAACAGATGTTTCTGTTAATTTTTTTTCCAAAAATTTCATGTTGAAGAAAAGCATCGACAAAAGAGACATCAATACAAGAGCGAAAGAAAAAAAAGAAATCTTCAAAATAAAAATGACTCGTCGATCGGTTCCGTAGCACAAATTGGAAGAAGATGAAGTGGAAAAAGAAGAAAATAAAAACATCTTCATTTACTTGGGGGTCTTCGGCGAGTTTTGCTAAGGCCCAAAAGGCAGAAACACACAAGCAGAAGGAAAAAGAGAGAACATCTCTTAATGAAGATATTACATTGGGTCTCAACAGAGGTGTAATCCGGGGGAAAGCATATAAGATGATCATAAGAGCAAAAAGAAGAGTCCGCCGAAGCAAATCAAAAACGATCATTGAGGAATTGACGTACTCTGCGGTGATTCTATCGCACGGCGGTGAATCGAAAACTATTAATTTTCTTTTCATTTCATTGTTGTTGCTTAGCATTTCGAACAACAACTTTATCATCTCAAATGAGAAGAAAAGGCCTTTGCGTGCGCTTCGGTATCGCTTATAAGACCGTTGTGGATGAGAAGCATTTTAATAGAGAAATTAAATGCGAAGTAAGAGACGTGAAACGAAGAAGAAGTAAGAACAGTGGAAAAGTAACGTTTCGATATGTTTTATATTTTGTTTTTCGTTTTCGCTGCTTCAGTTTGTTGCGGAGTCAAATGAACTGAAACGAGATGCATAAGAATTGCAAATGAAAATGAAAGAAACTATTTAGAGTTGGCTGTTCATTTAAAATTTGATAAAGGCTTATATAAATGAACTTTTCACTTGAAATTATCATTGTCAATCATCCGTTAAGTTAAATCTGTAACATTCCACAATCATCATTCATCAGCATTTGATTCTGTGCCATCATATACGTGCTTAACATCCTATGCTATTGATTATGCTTCTTTGTGTTTTCTTTCCACATCATTCTCTTACACATAAATATTACGTGAACCTCAGATATCGTTTTGCAATTGTGTGCGTGTGGAATCTCTACGGGCGAAAGAGATTTATTTGTAGAGACATTGCCGTAGTATACTCATACAAACATTTCGATCTACCGCATTCTCTTCGTATGAGTTCCACGAAGAATAAGAAAACAAAAATGTTAAGACTCAACTCGTCTTAAATATAAAAACATAAAATGTGAATTTTCTCCGTTCATAAGTTTAAAAAAAAAGATTCTTCGCTTTTCAGACCTCTAAAGCTGATCAGGTAGAAGAAAAATAAGAAGAATAAAAGATTCTTAGTTTGTAGGCCCTTTTACTCGGATTTTCTTAAGGCCCAGCAGGTCAATTTTCTAGTCGCTTTGATGACTTCATTCGCTCGAACACATGAAGTTTTTGTTCCTTTCGAGAAAAGCAGTCTTCTTACTCTTAAGTATGGGTTTCAGGCATCAGATAATTTATGATGTCTTGGGAAATGATTGGAAATGATGAAACGTTTTCACAATGTGCTAATTTTAAAAGTAACACTATTTAAGTTCATTTTCCCATGCATTGAGTGACCTTCCTACCGAACAGCTCCTGCTGTTAAGTCATAAACCAATTTCCGAAAAAAAGAAATATCTAAAGATCCTCTAACAGATCAATTTTCAGGGATGGGTCACAAGAAATAAAATGTATACATATCGTTAAGCCTTGAGAGTTATGTGACATATTAAATCGAAATCTAAGTTTATGACTAGGAATTTAGTGTAGCGACCTATCGCTTCCCATACATCCAACAAACGCACACCCCACGCCACTTTGTTTTGTATTCATATGGCACATTTCTGATAGATAATATGAATTGTGAGCAGGAGTCATGTTGTGCCATTGCTTTTTAATGCGTGGGTGGTGGACAGTAACTTTTGCTTAACAATTTCAATATCAAGATTATTGAGCATTAAACATTTGCTTTTAAAAATTAACATTTCTAAGAATAGTTAATAGTTTAAAAGAATTATCGGGACGAAACATTGTAGATTCAATTTCTATTCTTTAGAAACTTCATGATCAATCACAGTAAAATTGTGATCAAAATTCCTTTTTAAATTTTCGTAGTAGTTTCGTAATAGTAACAGTTAAGCTTTTGACCTTTAAATTATTTGATTTAACTTTCATCAATTATATCGAAACGATGTAAATATCATAAAAGTTCATTTTAATGAGTAAAACTCTTGAATTGAGACAATCATCAAACGTTTTACAATTTTCTTTTGCATTAATATTCAAAATCATTAACTCAATCGATTCCGTCAATGTGGCGCTTAAATTCTCTCGCAAATCTTTTATTCCTTTATGGAATGGAATTGATTGCGGAAACTTTGCTGTTGATGAGAAATCTTGGCCGATGCGAAAGAGTTTCGTTCATGTTGGGTGGTCGTAGCGAAATGAAAACAAAAACGAAGCGAAAAAAAAAACACAAACGGTTATGAATGAAGCGAATGAATATACAGAAAGGGAAAGAAACTTTTTTATTGTTATTCAATTTTAATTGAGCAGGTAATTGTGAATTTTAATGCGCGATCTATTTTTTCCTTTTTATTTAATTTGTAATAAGATTCAGAGAAATATTTTAAGCAGAATACGATGGATATTAAGAATGCGATTATAAGAAAAAAGTTCTTGAGATTTAAAGATAGTTTCATGTTGATAATTGGATCTTATGAAATTATTCAGAATCAGCAGACAACTTATGAGAAAATCTCAAAATAAAATTGAAGAAAAAAATTTCTTAGTAACTCGAAATTAAGTTTTTTTTGTAACCATAATGAACTTTGGCGAGTTATAACAGGCTTACGGCAATGCTTATGCTGAAATGGCAAAATGTTAATAAAATATTCTCACCTTTTCTATTTGGTCAAGCGCTAATGCAGCATCAAACCAGCTTGTTCTGATGTACAAATCTGACAAGAGTTTCTCATCTTCAACTGAAATTTCCGGGTGTGGTTCCGGCACACGAGGTGCCGATTCATTGATTGGCATTCCCATTTTCATAACAAATTAACTTCACTATGATTTCAAATTTATTTTCGATTCTTTTTTTGATATTTTTTTGCTTTTTACTCATATACGAATTTTCCTTGTTTTCTTTCTTTCAGTCTTTTCAATTTTATGTTATTTTTGCCGGAACTCCTATGCCGGACTCACTATATCGCCATACTCCATGGGTCTGCATGATAAATAAAACATTTATGTGAAATGTGTCGTGAAGAAACGAATTTATTTTATTTTTTAAATTAGTTTCATTGCTTATCGTAACTGCTTGTGTTTGAACTTTCTTTAATCATTTTTCACATTAAGCATTTGAAGATTTCAATTTAAATAACAAAAACAAAAAGTAATCCACGAATAGATGAAACCGCCTGCATGTGAGTCGAATCGGTTACGAACACTGAGCTTACGATCATTTTTTTCTTTTTTTTCTTTACTTCTTTCTTGTTGTGTTTTTTTTCCTTCTCTTTTTTTCTTTTAATGTCTTAATTTAAAGCCGTGCTCTCCGCTTGAGATCGTTCAAAACAACTTCGTGAACCCAGAAATTAATTTTACAATTTAAGATGATTAAAGTAGAAAATTAAACACACGCAGGAGCCTGATGATTTTTAAAATTTGTGCAATTTAAGCAGAATATTTCATTTTGCGATTTTCTTACATTTCTTTTCATTTCCTTTAATATTTTTTCACTCATTTAGCAGAAAATATAATTTCCGCCTTATTTCCTCGTTAATGAATTTGATTTGTCAAGTCACTTTCACGTTTAAATTTTTCCATAAGATTTCACGAAGATCGAGAAAGGTTTCACAATAAATTAGGTTCTTTTAAAATCTCAAAACTAATTTTTTAATTATGACCTTCGCGTTATTTTCAAATCATTCTTATACCACTTTCAATAATATATTTTTTCCACTGTTATTCACCATTTCACTCAATAATTGAGATTTAATTCTATCTCTTTATTTCCAGAATTGATTATTCTTTAAATATAATTAGTTTCCTTTTTGTATTTTGCAGCGCGGTAATTTTTCATGTGTTTCTTTGCCAAGCGTTGCTCAATGACTGTTTCTCATAAACATGAGTTGGCAAGAATAAGAGCAGAAGTTTCCATTTCTCTCATAAAATCTCTCATGTTTCTCTCCAATTTCTTTGAGTTTGAAGATCACAAGGGACTGTTCATCGAAAAAAGTTGGCCAGCAAAACCATTTAGATAAAAAATAGCACAAGGCAAATTGTAAGAAAAATTAAGCAAATTCTTAAAAAAGAGCCGTTTTTTGAAAAAGCACTAGTGCTTTTCGAAGCATCATTTAGAGTCAGCTGGTAAAACTATTACGATGAATTACCCCTTGGAAGATCGCGTTGTGTGAGGTCTTCTCCCTGTACATTTCACGATGCGTGCTTGGCGCTGCGATCGTTATTTTCTTGTATCAGTTATATTTTTTGGGGCAATTATTGGCCTTTTGCAGTCGCCAATGACTTAATTGGGTGCTTGGCTCACAATCGTTTATCTTTAAGCTTGATTACTGAGTTAAGGCATTTTTTAGCCGCAGTTTTATTACTGCTCGCACTACTCGTTTCGCTGAAGAAAACAAATTAAGTAATTAAAACAAATTTTTAAAATGTAATTGTTTTTTCTTTAGCTGTAGTCACTTCAAATTTGGAGTAACCTCCCATTTATGCATGTTCAAAATTTTAATACTGACTGCTTACTTTTGAATGAATAATAAATTTATGGTCTTTTAACAACAGAATGTAAAGTTAAACATTTTGGGTGCTATCAATATTTTTGCATTGCTCTTTAACAATTCCTAATTTGTTTACAGCTGTGTATAATGCAGAATGTGAAATTCATTTAAGATCCATTCTGCTTCTTAGAGTTCTTTACACAATCCGATAAAAATTGACTCTAATTAATTTTAATCTTACGTTTATTTTATTCTCTTAATTTCGAATTTTCAAAATGACCTGAAAATCAATCAAATTTGAAACCCTTCGCCTTTGTTGAAATTATCTATTAAATATCTAATGTTTATTAATGAAGATATTATAAATCTCCGTCCTTACATTTCAATCAAACCAAAATTCTCTAATCAAGGTAGGTTTTATTTTCCATCTTGTTATATCCCATTCTTTAAAAGACTAATAAAAATCATAATTTTTCTTTTCTATATCAAATGAAATTCTACAGATATAAATACTATACAAGAAAAGAGAGAACATAATAAAAATGTTATAAATTTTAAATTTACCTTCGTTTTTATATTTTCATAAATAAAAGGCAACTTCAAGAACAACAGTAATAATAAGACATTTGCACTAAGCTTGGAAGTGGACCTCCCACGTTGTGAATCGTTTGGAGACCTTGTAAGCCGAAATAAAAGAGGAAGAGTAATTTGTTACTCTGTAAATACGTAAAAGTTGTTCTGCATGGCATTTTTATCAAACAGCTTGAGCATTTCAGCATAAATATCTCAACCATATTTTTACATGAGTGAATTTACTGAAAGTAACTTGTTTTAATAAGAGAAAAAATGTCACTCTTAATATGTAACGAATTTTCTTCACTTAATTTATGTTCGGGTCTTGATCTAGATCGACGTTCACATGATCGGTTTGGTTGGAAAGGGACAACAGATCGCTGATTCAATACACAGTCAGATATAAATTTATATGCGAAGCGATTAACTAGAGAGAGAATATGTTTATTGAGATTTGAAGACCACCCACCTCGAAGCGACTGTATTTGGTAGCAGAAAAAGATGAAGAAAACTGGATACATAATAATATGCTCAATGTCTGAGACGAAATCTTGAGGCGACGGTAAAAATAAATTGATAAGAAACCAGTTGAGTGTTGAGATGATTTATTTAAGAAAAAACGACCATTTGCAACATTTTTTAAAAAATGATTTGAGATCAAAGACAACATTTTTTCTTCTGGTACGTCTACTCTTATGAATAGTCTAGTAATAACATTTCTTTGATAATAAAATCAGTTCACAAAAACATCTAACACTAAAGAAAAAGTCGCGATTATTAGCCAGATGGCATCGAACAAAAATAAAGTGAAACGAAAACATTTTTTGCATCATACAACGAAACAAAGTTGACGTGACAAATCGAAGATATGAAACTGTATTTCACGGCTATCTTTTCTTTCCCTGCTATAGGTAGATAATTAATGTTTACATCTGCAGAACAAGTTCTATCGAAGGTTTGAGATGTTTATGAAAATCAATGTTTTGATTTTATATGAAGATAAATTATTTGTATAAATAATGTTTAGCCTGAAACAACTTTAAGTAGATAAATAGTTGGGCAGAATTTATATGGAATTCCTTTAAATTGCATGAAAGTATTCCATCTCGCAGGTGTCTATTTTAAGATTCTTGATCTCAGAACCCCTGTTTCCTGAAAGTCAGAGATTCTGAAGATTTTTCATCTATTTGGCGCTTCTCGGATGTGAAAGTATTTCAAGAAATCTCAGTTTCGATACATTAAGTAAGCTTACATATTTAGCGATAAAACATTAATCATTAGAATTTTAAACAGAGATCAGATTTTCTTCCAATCTCAGTTTCAAAACCTGAACTCACTGATAATGACTATTGAGATCATTTATAAAATTATTAAGCATACATTTAATGTTAGAATAATGTTTCCACTAATATGCCTTTTAATTAAAAGAATTTTTATCACTTTACTCTTATATTTTTCTGATTAGTTTTAATTTTGCTGACCACAATTAAAGACCAATTTAATTCAAGTTTTTATGTGATCTTATTGAAGATTTGTATTGCTTGTATTACTGTAATTGCCTTCTTCTTAGAATTTAACGTAAAAAAACTAAAATTTTTAAATAAAAATCCACGGAATCGAAAATAAAAACTGTAGATGTAAATTTTTTTATTATCTTTTTTTCTTCTTCAAATTTGTTCGTCTTCGTACGATCTCAAAACTCATTCAATGATTTGTAACATGGTAGAAACTAAGAAAGACATAAACAATTCTTGCCATTGTTGTTCTTGGAGATTTACAATGAAAAGGAAAATGAAAACAGAAAAGTTCGAAGACATTTCTTATTTTTTTCAGATTTGAACAACAATGTCACAGAGACGCTGTTCAAATAAAGTCTGGAATATAGTGATTGAACCGGCTTTCTGATATATTCGCTTCTGATAAAGTTCTTATTATTTTGTTTAAAATGCATTTGCAGTTGTCCAATTCAAGAAAATTATATCCTTCTCATTCAGATAAATTTTTACTTACATTTTAAATAACTTAAGTTATTTTTACGAAAGTCTTCAGTTTTCCGTCATTCTTTGTATTGGAAGTTATAAGAATATTTGATTTTGAGGCTGGTTCTCTCGGTGTAGAAATGTATTTTTAATAAAAATAGACATTATTAGTACTTCTGTGTATTCTATAAATAAAGCAAGCGGGGAACCGAGAAGGGAAGAGACACGCTTAATAAAATAACATTTCAATTAACACATTTCATGCAGCAAAGGTCGTTCTAAAATTATCTGAGTTATAAGATTCTCACTTCAATGTAGCTATCTTTCATTTAAAATCATTGACCATTTTATGATCAATCCTAATTTTCTAATATTTCGAACTTAATATTTTTAAAATGAAAGATCTCTTAATTTCGTTTTTATTTCTTTTGCTGATTCCATTGAATTAAAATATAAGAAATATATGTGTTGTTGTTGTTGTTATTCAGAAAAAGAAAAGATCTGTAGTATGTGAAAGAGCGGGGGCCCCGAGAGGACTGGGCCACACACGTCGAACTTGGGCCACACACATCGCAATCGAGTATTATACAATTTTTTTCTTCTCTGTTTTTTTTTTTCTTCTGTTATTGTGTCGCTTTTTACTGACTCAACTTGAAAATAAAAAAACTGTTTGTTACTGTTGGGGGCTGCTTTTCTTCCTTCATTCCCAAAGCTCACACAAATAACCATCTATATTGACTTCTTGTTTTGTCATTTTAACCCCCGATTAACTTTGAATAGAGACAGTGTTATGTTAATTTTGTTTTTAAAGTGAAAAAGAGCAGAAGAATTCATCTTTTTTCGTTACATACATATTAATATCTTTATTTCTGTATTTTTTTTTAAAGAAACGAGAGTCAAAAGTAAATCTCATTAATAAATTTAATTTTTTTCGACAAAAATTGTCAGAAATATAAGAGAAGAAATTGAAAAGTAGCTCTCATTACATTTTTATACATTTCTAAAGACAGGGATGCCATATAGTTTGCAAATTATTGATAATAAAATTTAAGTGAAACTGTGTCAATTAAAATGCTTGTGCTTAAGATGGAAGATTTCCAACAGCTTCAATCTCAAATTTACCTTTCAGGGTAATGTAAGCAATTTATGTCTCTATAATGGAAACAACGGGATGACAAACGATTTTCTTAAAGAATTCGAACCCTACACGTGCATGGACTTTAAAGTCAACCATTCGAATTTCTACTTGGAAAGTTATTCCACGATGTCACTTATAAATATGACTGAGTTACGATAAAAGCAAAATTAACCGATGTGGTGTTTATTTTTAATGGAGATTTCATGACAAATTCAGGTTCTCTATGACAAAGACAAGAAGTTGATTTTTTAAGGATATTTTCTTTCTATAAACATTATGGTGATATACCTATAAATAAAATTCTTTTTAAAATTTGTTTTTGCCCAAATTCGTGAATATTTTTAAACTTTGATTCTTTTCGTTTTTGTTTTCATGCTTCTTTTTGCCTTGATGCTGGTAATTTGAGAGAACGTTGAACGAAATATCCTAAATACAGTAAATGTAAAATTCAGTAGCAACTTAATAAATACAATGTTAAGAATGGAAATTGTAGACTGACTAATCGAAGGAAACAGATAAGAATAACAAATAAGACGCAAAAGTGTCAAAAGTCAAGTTTGATCACTTTTAGGAGAAGAAATTTATTTGAAATATCAAAAAAAAAACTTTAACTTGTATATTTATTGACCATTCGATTTAAGGTTTAATCATCTGTGAATGGAAAAGAACCATAAAATATCAGATGTCATTAAATTTCAATATATAAAAAATATATTTAGCTTATTTTGGGGAAGCATATCAACTTTTGTTTATTATTCGATTTATGACACATTAAATGCATGCAATTATTCTACAAGAGAAATTTCTTCAACTTTGTATTCACTTCCTGTTCCAACCAAATTTGTGTAATTCAAGGGCTTGTATAGTTGATACATTCTTCAATTTTGCCTCACATTTCATTCATATTCAATCTGCTAATTTATTTCGGAAGGAGATGAAGAAAATGAACATCTTACGATGGCAAAGAAGAAAAAAATATATAAAGTAAACCAACAACATCAACGAATTGTCGGAAAAAGATCAAAGAATTACTCGCCGCGCGCACGTTACACACAGAGAGAAGTTCCAAAATAATATTGTGCAAGAAGCCCAATAATGGTGAGACTAAGAATAAAATGAAAAGATACTCGCATTTTAATCTTAAAATCCATCTAAAGCCGTCCCAAAAATAAAAGAGAAAAAAAATAACAGGAAAGAAATGAAAATTCCGGTAGCTGGCGGCACGGGATTTTAAGATATCTGACCAGATCTTCCTACAGTTTTAAACAACATTTGTTAATTTGTTAGTTAAACTTATATGGGTTTGAAATGTTATCATTAATTCAAGGTAAAATTTTACTTGATAGAGCTTATATCATTTCAATGAATGTTGTTTGTGTTTCTCGTTTTCTTCAAACATGTGAAAACTCAATTTTCATATTTATTTAGTTCTTTGTTTTAGAGATTTGGCTGAATAAAAGCTAAAGAAGCGATGCGATAGTGTGTTACGAGTCATTTCAGCTACTTTAACAATAAGTTAGCATTACAATGCTAAGTGAGTAAATGAACATTTCCTTTTATTCTCAACTGATAATTGTTTAGGTAAGTAAGTGGTAGAATCTAGCAAGTGGAGCTAAAAGATTTTTTTCCTCATTGAATTGACTTGTCGATGTCGATCAAAAATAGCTTTACCAATAAACTTACAAAAGACTTAACCGATATTCTTTGCAAAAGTAAAGATTTCGTCATGGTAATTATTGAAAAGGAGATGAAGCTAATTGACGCAACAGAAACGCCTTTTACCATAAATGTGTATTGAAAGGCAACTCTCATTTTACGTTTGTTCATTGTGGAAAATTATAAATTTTAAGATCAAAGAAAAAATAAAGGTAACGAGAAAAAGGTGTCGCAAGGCATCAAAAGAGATGAAATTTGAAAAGGAAAGTAATTTGAAGGAATCCAGGAAGCGCATCGGATCGGACAACAAAGGTCTTCTGCAAAAATCAAAATTGATGTCTAAATCTAAAATATTTCAATGTCCCTTAAATAAAACATAAAGCTGAATCAATTTATGTGATAAAAATGTTTCATTTGTTTTAAAATCTATTGAAATTAAATTCTCTGTTACAGAACCATGTTTTAAAAATAAAAATGGAGAATTTTTAATGAAACGAAAAATTAAACGGGTGACGACACATGTAGCGACATCTTTATTTGAACTTTAACACTTCGCATCATTAAAGTCTCCATAATGTGATTCAGTTTTCAAAAAAAGAATTCAGAAATTGAATTAAAAATCAAACAAACTTTTAAACGGATTCGATGTTTTTTTTAATGCTTAAAATAGATTTAAATTAAATTTACATGCTTGTGCTTCTAATCACCCCAATGATTTGTGACTCTATTTTTATTCGTCGACCGTTCATCATAGACCAAGTTAACTTTAAAAGTTATATTTTAATTTTTTTTGCCATGTCTGTGCTTTTATTTTTTGACAACTTCAATGTTTGTAAAAATATAAAACATGCTTTTTTTAATCGCTTCATACGTCTACATAAATGGCTTAATAATTTTAAATTTGCCAATAAAACGGTTTCAATTTTTTTCACTCTTCTAAGAAAACGAATGCATTGACTTTAGCATTTAGATAATATAAAGAAGTGGGTGATGGAAATAAAACACAATCTTGTGATAGAATCAAATTGCTTCCCATTTATGTTTAAGCCGTAAAAACCTAAAAGAAAAAAAAAAAACAAATGACCATTTATTGTTGTTATTGGCACGCCGGCCAACAAGAATGGACAAGGCGATAAAAGTGAAAAAGTGCAAGACTAAGAAGATTGCTCGAAGTGAAATTTGTTGTTTGATTTTTTTCCTGACACAGCATGAATAAATAGCCTTGGATAAGAAGACATTGTTTTCCAGATCAATTGGGGAGTTGACTTTTCCATTCATATGATACTTTTTTTCCCTGAAGATATTTATGTAAGTATAAAAAAGGAATATTTGCAATTCGAAGCAGAAATCACATGACTACGTCGTCCTAGGTAGTGATTTTTTAACTTTTAATGATAATATACATTTACACCTCATCATCATCATCATCGTGCGTTTAGAAAACATAACATTAAAGTTTTGTTTTCTTTTAATGATTAAACCATAAAATATTGCATAACTTTAAGGCGTAACTTATTTGAATCTCAATAGAAAATTGTAAAAATCTTGAGATTTAAAAGCATATTTGAAGCAGTAAAAAGAATTTTATGTACATGAACATGAAAAACAGTTGAGAGTCTTTTTGACAATTCGTGTCCATTCGATAATGTACTGCTTAGCAAACATATCCCACTCCACATCCCCAACTACGCCATACCACTTCGAACTCCCTTCTCAATCGTTCTTTTCTTTTGAGATTATAATTTTCCCTCATTCTGTTTGCTTTTCACTGCCGATTGTCCGTAAGACTGAGCATAAAAAAGCGAAAATCTATAATCATAAATCGAAGACGTCGATTGGGAAAGAAAAACATTAATAGCTTTGTTGTTTTCTTTTCTACTGCAAAATGTTCTTTCTATCTTTTGTTGCGTGTAGTCGAAATCATGAAACTAAGTATGATGTTTCTGTTTAGGGTGATGCCATTCTGGCGGTAAAAGAAGAAAAAGTATTGTGTAGAAGAAGAAAAACTTAAATTAATTAAAAGTTGCATAGACTTAACGAGTTGTTTTGCTGTAAACAGCGGAAGAGAAAAATATTCCGAACATTTAAAGATTTAGTGAAAGAGGATTGAATAAAACAACATCAACTACAAAACATTTAATGTTGCGAAGTAGAAGCATGAGAATGTTCAAAAGAACATAAATAACCTGATGTCAAAGTCTTTCTTAAGGATCTTCGTAAGTACGACTATGACGATATTTTTTATTTACACTTCGTCTTTTGCGCTTCTTCGTTTTCAGAATTCAACCGCACATCAATTTCTTTAGGATATCATCGACTCCGTCACAAAGAGCAATACTCCAAAGTCAACACTTGATTGTGTATGAAGATTGCGGTATGAAAAAGATTACTTTATTGGGAGTTATGTCGGGGAGGGGAGATTTTTGTGCGCTTTGCTGTTCTCTTATTGTCACATGACATCCATGAGTAAAATAAATGACATTTTAATTTGATATTTATTTGTAGGTAGTAGATTTTTGTTTTTTTTTCTAAAGTGAGAGAAAATTTTAAATGATAGTTGTAGGATCGATACATTCTAGTCAATATTTTAAGAAGTAAATAGCTGAAGTTAATTAAGTAGTAATAAGCAACATTTATAAGTTGACAAGGATAAAATTTTAGGCTTTTATGTTGTCATTAACTACCGAAACAAGCGAGTGATTAGAGTTTTGCGATAAATTATCAGTTGAACGTAAATGAAAAAAGAAAAGGAAGTGATGATGGCAATGTCTCAAACCAACTTAAACTAAACTCCCCTAAATGTTTTCCCTTTGAATTAAAGACTAGGTAGAATTTAGAACGAAAGAAAATTGTCGTTCGAGAAAGAAAATTCCCACAAATCATTTTCCCATGCAGTCGAGTATCGAAATTCTGAAAGTAGCTGGTGAAACTATTAAAAGACCGCCCGTTGTGGAATTTACTCTTTCGAAATATACTCTTTAGGGACGCAAAGAGTGACTCAACTTTTAACATAAAATTCACAGCAGGAATTTCGTTTTCACCATTAAATTCAAATTTCAAATAAAAAGAGTTTGAAGTTTTGGACAAGATGCGAAATGAAACTATTAAAGCATCATCAGGTGATTCATAATGAAAAATGACAATTAGAAAGGGAATGAGTAGATATTCACAATTCGAATCAGACACTGGTCTGTTATGTCTTTATTACTACTCCACTGTTTGTGCATTTACTACAATTTTCCGAAAATTATTCAGAGGGTCGTTTCTATTCATCTTTGAATGTATTCTAGACACATCACGTCGTAACGAACTTGTTGTTAATTCTCTCCAAACTCTATTAACAAAAAGATAGAACAACAAAAAAATATGTCACTTAATAATAATCATCACTTAATTAGAACAATTATGAAGAGCATAAGGAAGTAATAACGAGAGCAATCACCATCTACATGTACATTCAACATTTAAGCTTTATAATTTTTTTTTGTTCTTCGTAAGGAATATGTAGCGAGATTGCTGCATAACGATGGTGACAGTTTAATAAGTGATGAGATTTCTCTGTATTTCCAAATCTGCGTTCAGAGATTTACTAAAGTATGTACATATTATAAGGATAGAAAATTAACATTAACATAAAAAGTCTTTATTGATTGAAATTTCGACACTCTCCAGATACCCATCAAATTTTAATATTTCTTTTTACAAACAACTCTAACATTTAAAAGTTAATATTATTGACTGCAATTTCCTCTTGAAATTTACTGATTAGCATTCCAAATATCATCCTTAAATAATAAATAAAAAAGAGAGTAAGTAAATTAAGCAGTTTGTATTCATTTTAAGTAGAAAATTTCTTAAACCTTTTTCTTATTTCTTCTCACTTTATGTTAGAGAAGTGTCCTTTCAACATATCTCGTGTTAATAACAGTATAGAGTGTTTTAGCTTTTAATAATCGTTATAAATGCTCATCATTGACACCCTATTCTGACTTTCACTCATTCACAAGCTATCATCGTTTGTTCGTTTCCAACCCAAGTCAGAATTCAACAAAAAAAAAAAGGCAGAGAAAGTTTTTCTTCTTTCATTGTTTATTATCTGTTATTTATTGAAAAATAAAACTGCAAAAACGAGAAGAAAATTTGTGAATATTAGGTATTGAAAAAGGGGATGCAAAACATGTTCCCTAAAAAAATATAATAAAATGTTTTCCTCGATGAAAGTAACGATGCCTTTCAGTGGGATCTCTTGGGAGCGGTTGTAATAATAGAAAGCATGTGAGACATTCAAATTTTCTGTTATAGTCATCGATATCTTTGTTTGCAAATAGTGATTTGCTTATAGATGGAATGTGATAAGAAAAACTGAATATAAACCTTAATACAATTGTCATGTGTTATGAATTTCAAAAGTACTTAATTTATCATTCAAAAGTGAAAGAAGCTTCATATTCAAATGGTCGACAAAAAACTCTAGTGGAATTGAACAAACACAAAGTGTGCTTAAATTCTCACAACTCAATTGCTTTTTCAAAGTTAAATTGTGATGTATGCTATTTTTGACAAGTGTTAACATCACAGAAATTTACCACAAAATTTAGTGAAAATTCAGCAGAAAAGTTTGCTTTTTTCTTCATAATGTCCACTTTTGCTGCATGATAAAAAATTCTCTTACATTAGAAAATTGAATTTAGGGTCGAGAAACATTACTTCTCAGATTTTGTGTTTATCTGCTTAATGCTGACGATGCGTTACTATTCAAATTTAATTGTAAATCTGTTGAAACAATGAAAAGTATGAAATTTAGGTATTTTAAAAGTTGCAGAAACTGTCATGATATTTGAAACGAGAATTTTCTTAAATGAATCGACATGAATCTTTCAGAGGAAAAATAAATAAATACAAATCTAAATCCTTGTGACAATCTAGATAAACTCATCTTTATTCCCCATCCACTTAGTTTTGATGATGGAAAGAAAAATCAACTTGAAAAAAAGGGTTGCAAAGAAAACAAACTTTTTAATTTCCCAGCTTTCTCTCATTGTTTCGCGTTTTGTGTTATCAGAAAGAATGTGTTTTTGTGAACCCTCGCACTAACGCGAAATCCTAAACAAATTTCAAATTTTTCATCTCTCCCGCTATCCTATCAACGAACGAAATTGTCGTCGATTTTTTTTTTCTTTCTCTTCCTTTTAAATGCCTTGCAGCAACAAATAAACGCAGAAGGAATGAGTTGAAAGTTATGTTTTGTCGTAAAATTTTATAATTATTGCGTAACGAGAAACAAACGCAAACAAAACAAGAAAAAGAAAAGTAAAAATAAAAAAATTTCTCAAGCTTAATTTTCATGTAATAGCTAAACCCTTTTGTACTCTCTGCCGCAACTCCTCGTGTAACATATCCACCAAAGTTAAGACTTTTATTTATTTTAATGTTTATTACTCCCAAGCAGCCTTAATCGTTGATGTTATGCCTTGTTGTCGTTTGTCTTAATGCGATATTTAATACAAAACTCCGACTTACTTACAATTTTCTACGATTCCAGGGATAATTTGCTACTTAACCCTTTTAACTCTTGAGAGATTTTGTTTTAAACGCTACCGTCATTTTTAAGTCATAAAACGATTTCATATCTCGAGTAAATTTCTCTTCTAAACTGACTTGAGTACAGAAATATTTGTTGTAGAATTTTTTATTTCTCATTACGAACAGGAATGTCTTTAAAAATAATTTTGAAGAATATTTTTTTATTCAATTGGTGAATCAATGATTGTCAAGTTGCAACTTTTGTTCTAGAAAAATGTTCATTAATTGATACTTAAGCAAGATATGAGTTCAGTTAATACTTGCAACTCTTTAATTTGTAGAAATTGTAGTATTCTTAATTATTTTTCATTTGATTCTTCCACTTTACACTTCTAACTAATAGACTAATTGTCAAACTAGATAACTCTGCATTTTATTAAAAGACATGACAATTTTCTGTAGAAAAAACAAGTCAACTTAACTGCCACGAAGCTTCATATTCCCCCCTTGCAACCCTAAAATTAAATTACGCGAAACAAAGTTGAGACAACAAAATTCACACCAAAAAAAATCATGGGAGTGAAATGAGCTCTTTGCGATGTTTAATTAAACAGCACCTCTGTGAATAATTTTAAAGTCGTTTGGTTTTATGTATCAAACATTAAAATTTTCCTTACTCTTCCCTCAGTTAAATTTCTTGAAAGAAAGGAAAAGAAATGAATAAATCGAGCAGATATTTAGAGAATTTTGACTTCAACGTTCTTTTTTATTTGACATTTTTTATATCTGTCAACAATGCTTACTTATACATACCAAGAAGCTTAAACACTAGTCTTATGCGTGAAGCCTGATAAAAAGGATCTCGAAATATAATCCGTTGAAAAATGTCGTAGGATATTTGAACTCATAGGACTTTACCTGAAACGGAAGAGATTTGTAGGTTTGCAACCACCAATTATTATCTCGACCAACCGATGATTCTCCTTAACAAGGATATCAACAAATCCCTGGGTCCATGCTTTGGAATAAATAATCAAATGTTCATAGAATTTAATTTTCCCATTTTCACTTTCTAGGGATTTAAGTAGATAAGTGAGGGAAAAAATTGTTCTGTGATTTCTACAGAATCTCGAACAACCCCAAAAAAAAAACAGAATATCTACATGAATATACCACAAAGCAAAAAACCTTTGCAAATCGGACTTAAAACATGAGTTTAAGATTAAGCCTTAGCATGAAAATAATTGAGTGGAATGCCAAGGAGAAATATTTTTACTGCATAACGATTAGCTGAATGAGATTTTAAAGTCTCGAAAGGTTTCCAATCTTTTCAGGGCTTCCGAAAAACAAATATAGCCACAATTCATGTCATTCGAACAAAATTCATCTTTTCATAAGGATGAAATTGGAACTATAAAAGTTTAATATCAATTTCAGCGGTTTCTACCTTTTTACTGATTGACAAAGGAAAACATTTTACCTAACATCAAAAATATTTCCGATTCTCTAAAATATTACAAGCAATAAACGATTCCGAATATGTATCTACATACATGTAGGCAGAAAGATATATCTTTCATATCATAATATCTAAACAATTAATGTTCCATAACATCTATTTTCCCCACAAGGATATTTCAGTTTAACTCCCTTGACTATCTCTTCTTCCTCTGATCTTAGTTTTCTGTATTTTATTTTATATTTTACAAGCAAGAGGAAGCTCAGGAAGGATTTATCAAAGATTGTCAAGCCAATTAAAATAAGCTAACTTGTAAAAGGGTTTTTGGAAAAGCAATGAGTTTAACTATCTTGCATGTGGGATCTGAACATTTTCTTGCCCTCATTTCATCAGAAGCTTCTCCAATTTTCCAACCGTTGATTTCTTGATTGCCAGCATTTTAACTGATGATTGCCTGTGCAACATCTTGTCAATTTGTGTGATTCTTCCTATCTTACTCTTATTTTACTGTTTAATAATTTGTTGTGCTGGAAATATAATCAGTTCCATCTGCTGAAAAGGATTTAATTACTTTAATTTAATGAGACATTAAAAGTATTGTTTTCGTTGTTATTCTCTTACAAAAGATTTGCTTGTTTTTGACTAACTTAAATCCAAACAATTCATATAGATATCTAACTAATTAAATATTTATTGTTTTACATCCCCAACATTTAATTGTTTAAAATTCTTCATTAGTTTATAGTTCGAACATTCAATGCTGCCGAATAATATTCAAAAAATATTGAAATTTATAAAAAGGAATCTTCATAAAAAATGAAAATTTCTAAGAAATTCTACAAAGCTGTCATCCATTGAAATCTTCTAAACTCGGTCACAAAATTCAATAAAAAAGTTTTCCTTCTTTTTTATGTTTGTTGATCCTTCAAAATTTATTTCATTTCTAAACTTTTCAAGAATAGGAAAAACAACAAAACAGCAAATGCTGTGAAATATGTTTCAAAGACGGGAAAAATTCGAAAGCGAAAATCAAAACTTAGGCATTTCAGTAAACAGTAATTTTTCGTGCAATTGAAACTTTATGGTTCACAAAGTGCGGAACATCTGATGTTGTTTTTGCAATGATGGTATCGTGTTTCACATATGTTTCGATCCAAGGACGTTGATCAATATATCGAACTGCGAGTATAAATACGTGAATCACGAAATTGAAATGAAATTGATTCAAGTAAAACTCAATTGTCTGGAAATATTTTTTGACTTCAATAAACAGGAAAAGAAAAACAAAAATAAATAAGAGCTGAAAAAATAAATATTCAATACAATTTTATCTATGAAGTATTTTTTTCTCCAAAAATCAATTTCGATATTTGTTTGTCATGTTAAAAAAATCAACTGACCAACTGGTGTGTGGTGGGAAAATAGATTCAGTTAACTGAATTTTCGTAATCGAAACAATGCCGTTGAGATCAAAATCAGTCTGACAATCATGTGGAATTAATAAATAAATATTTAATTTACTGGCGATTCCAAACATGGCCCATGGCCATGGAAAATTTTGAAAGTTTTTAGAGAGTGCACTGAGAAGAGCTTGAAAATAAAATATTTCCATCTGACATTTGAAAAGTTTAAAAGAAAATACTACCAGCAATAACAATCGAGATGATTTTCCGCTTCCTTGCGAGTAGATAAGCGTCAACAGTATCAATGTGTTATTAACCCTCTCCAGGACTTCTCTAACGAATGTGAACCTCAGAAAAATCTCTCTATTTAGTTTTTCCGTTTTTCGCTTCATTTGCGTCACGTAATAGATAAACGGACACTTCTCTTCCCCTGCTTGATACATGTTTGCAAATCATCGAATCCCATTCTGTCGATAAAAAATTGTTGTTGATGTTTCATGTTGGTAGCCCCAATTGCGGGGTTTGCTTTCATTACTTCCATTTAAAAGAATGACGAGGGTAAGTGTGAGAGAGAGCAGTAGGCAGATTTCTTCTGAATCTTCATCTGACCATCGCTCGCCTTTTACCAATTTGTTTGTTTGCCTGCTTGCTTTCACTTTTTTTTATGTTCAAGCTCGTACGGTAAAAATTTCAGTTCAATTTTTTTCTTCTTACTCATCAGAATGTCGGTGAAAATATCGATTAAATTTCCACTTATCTAAATATTTAAGAGTGAAAATATTTCTATACGGGAAATCGATTGCTGTAAAAATAAAATTCCTTATTTTTAAATCGAAAAGGCGGAACACGTTACAAGAGAATTCAAAGATCGAAATCGTTCCATTCAGCTAAGGAAGCCCTTTCAGACCACTGCGATTAAATGTGGGTTGAGGAGGCAAAAGAAGCTCATTCAAATCCTCCTTAATCTTTGGTTGAATAGAAATACATCCTGAGATATTTCTTTTGCGATTATTGTGGCATGTAAATGGCAATGAAAAATTTCTTTTATTTAAAAAAAGTTTACACAAGAAAAGTCGAAGATGGAAAATTGCATATCACTGATTACAGCCAGCAATGTCTGGTCTCGCCTTTTTGCCACACTTCTCAATTGCCGAAGCATTTGGTGAAACTTTTTATTCGAATTCATTCATGGGGAAAATGGAAAAAATGAAAAGAAAAGAAATAAAAAGTCTTAAAGAAAATTTATAAAACAATGGGGATGATGCTTTGCTGCTTCGTTTTGTTTCAGTGTTTTTCTTTTAAATATTTTAGCCGAGGATATACGCAAAGATTTTAAAATGGGAGGAAATTTTTCGTGTCTAACAAAACGTTTCAACGTTCTTAAGTTCAATAAAAATGGAAAGAAATTAATGCTTCACCTATTCCAGTTTAAAACTTACTCTTTAATAGCTTTACCTACCATTCAAATCAACATCCAAACCTTAGAAAAATGAAAGAAAACAAACAGTAAAAGAGACAAAACAAAAATCTTTAAAGTTAAGTGAACCGGAATTTCTTACTGTCTCATTTTGAATTTTTTTATTCCAGGGACGAAGTAGCACCAAGAAGCAAAAGCCAAAATTGAAACAATGGCAATAATCAAATATTAATTTATGGTTGACATATTTATATTTATTCTTTCTTATTCTTTGCACTCTTTTCTTCTTCAAATTTTTTATGCTGACTGAATGTCTTCATCTCTCAAGAACCCCTTAAAAACGAAGAAAAACTTTTCTTTCGACTTCATTCAGGGTGCAAATTATTTAGGGTTTCGTATTTCTTAAGAAAAAAATATTGCGGGGGAGAGGACGAAGTTCAATATTCCATTTTTTATGAATGTGATTTCTCATTGTCGTTTAAGGATGAAACTTTTTTGCTTCTTCACAAATCCTACTTCATTAATATGCTTCAGTTCACTTCCGATACCTTCCAATAATTCACATATTGGATATCGACACAGAGAAGGGTGACAGTCTGAGTTAAGGAAGTTTGCTCCCCCCTTAGATCAAATTTACCTCATCATTTGACTAATTCTTGCTTTTCTTTATCATTTATTTTGTTATTCTTTTGCTGGATTGTGTCAATTTTTTCATTTCAATTCCTTCCGAAATATTAATTCCGCCCTCGCTTCCAAAGCCTTCAACTCATCCTACTTTCGATTGTCCTTATCGTTTATGTAAAACGTGTATTGTTTTCTTTTTCCTCGCTCCTTCTCTTTCTTCACTGTCAATTTTCAAAGCATCTTAATTCTTAATTTTTTTTCCTTCTTTCTTCGTTATTCCTTCTTATTGTCTCCAAGAATTATCTTCTGTGAATCCTCAAACCATCGATCTTCTTCGGTCCCACTTCTACACACAAACAAAAAAAAAACATCTTCATTCGTTATTCATTCTTAAGGTTTGATTGTTTTTGGATAAAAAAAATATCTTGAGCAGTATTCGAACTGTATGTGTTGAGGTTGAGAGTGTCGTGGGTGGAATATGAAAATATTTATAGTAAAATGACAAGGTGAAAGTGTCGCGAATAGCGAAGAAGAATCGATGAAGAGCAATCTTAAGTAGAAATAAGGTGGCAATCAGAATGAAGAAATTAAAGGTTGTTAGAGGGTTCTTGTGTCTCTTTTAAGCGAACAGAGTGAAACGAGTGGCGAGGGGTGCAAATTGGGATTCAGCGATATTTATTGACTTTAATTTATTTTTATTTCATTTATTGGCGGAGAACGCGCGTGGCACACGAACGATTCGTGTGCTTTCAAGTGATAAATATCTTCTATTCGAGTGGGATGGTGGAGATAGGTAAACATTCGCATAGAATGATAAGATTTTCGAGCGATTTTTTACTGCTTCAATCACCTTAAAGAAATACATAAATTAACGACAAAAGAGATGGAAGCGATGTGCAATGAATTTAATTTAAAAGTCTGATGTTCGTTCTGAGCGGATTAAATGAAATGAAAAATCTGATTTTTCTTATTCTTTCTTCTACTCTTTTTGTTTTCGACTTGATTGCATTGCAGTGAAACAAGAACTGAGCTACGGTTGCTTTAACACGCACAATCTGTGAGTGATTTCTCATCATTAACCCTTGAAATTGTGATCCGAAACGAAATGCGTTCAAGTCAATTGCTGCCTCACTCGCCATTTGTTGCAAAGGAATCCGCTTGAAGAATTAAATTGACTATCAAATCACTTCGCAGTTTATGGAGAACGCCATACGGTGGAAAAGGAAAACTCAAAACGGTCATTGTTGTGACGTGAATTTTTTTCTTTATTCGATTTTTGTCCTTTTTTATATTGAAAACAATTTTTCTCCATGGTTGATGGTGTTATGATGGGCGACAATATTTCTGAGAAAAAAAATTAAGTGGGATCATCAAAAAATCAGGTAACTTCTTATTTATCTCCTTCTACATCTACATTGGCAACAATACTAACATTGTAAGAAATAATTTGGTTTCTCGCCTCATGATTTTTCATTTTTATTACATCTGCATTTGTGCTGCTTATATTTTCCTCGACCAGAACAGGTGATGAGCCTCCCGCATATTTTTCCTGCTTTTTTACCTCTTTCATATGGATTATTTACCTACGTTCGTTTGCTGAATTTCATGTCACATTAGCTTCGTTTTGCTGGACGATGTGTGAAAATTTATGACACATTGTTAGCTCCCTCAGCTTCAATCGTCTCTCTCTTAGAGGAACTCAAATAGCAAACAATTTTTGGGACACCTTTTTACAGGATTGCCTTTCAAGGAGTGTGAGGGTGGAAGTGGAGAGTGTAAAAAATCTCTCATGTGTATCCATATCGCATAAATTTCACAAACATAACATGCTTTTCATGTCGCATTATTTTCAAACGATAGTGAAGGGTTCTCGTTGCGGGAATGGGAAGTAAAAGATTTCAATTTCACATGCACAGAAAGAAACAATAATTTCATAATTCTGAAACTTATCTCGAAAGTGAGAAAGCCAGAAAATGAATTCGTCGTTAAGGCCTTGCTTGATGCGACCAGACCAGAAGACAAAAACTTTTTCAGCGCCATCGGAAAGACGACAAAACACGAAGGCTAAATAATTATTTATTCAATTTCAGTAGCCGAGATTGTGGTTCATGTTTCATAACTGTTTTTTATCCATTTCATCGAAAAAGCAGCCCTCTCACACTTCCTATGGTCGTCGGCGTGCGGTTTGGTGATTTATCCTCAACGAAAATTTCTGCTTGTTTTGCTACAAATTTAATGCTCAAGATCCATTAAGTTTTAACTTTTTTTATTTTATGTTTGCAGCAAAAAGAAACTTTTTATATGGTTTAGTGTTTGTGTAATGTATGATCAGTTTTCGTTCGGTAACATTCAAAATTCAAACTTATCTAGAATTGTTTTAAAAGTAAGAAAAAATAATTTGGCTCTTTATCGTTAAATTTGTCACTATTTATTCTCGTTTGAATTCCACTCATTTATTAACTCGGCTTTTTACTACACTTTTTTTGTTGTTCCAACCACGTGAGGGAATGAAGTGAGGGAAATTACTCGGAACTTCTACGTCAGGTTGTCTAAATAATGATGCAGGGAAGTTTTCTCTTTTTTGCGTTTGAAGTCTCTTTTTAATCAAATTTCCTAAAACACTTAAAATATGTACACATGCAAGTAGCAAAGCAGAAAAATCAAAACGAAAATTTCAGAAAGAAAAACGATGATTATGAATAAACATGGAAGTCACACATTGAGGGAGTTGAAAACGGGGGAAATTAGATGAGATTTCTGTTTTGTATGTAAAAGATTTCGTCGGTGGAAAAATGTAAGGAAATTTTTTGGAAGCATTACACGTTTCTGTTACGACTGGAAATTCTATGTTTTAACATTGGAAATGTCGACGATTATTCTTCGTCGCATCACAAAAATTTTCCTCAAAAAACATTGGAAAACATTCGGAAAAATCGAAAGGAAAATTTCCCCTAACATCGTGAAAAGTGGGTTGGACATAACACTCGTAAAATTGAAATCACGAGGAAGAAATTCCTTTGCAACAACTGATGATTCTTGCTTATTCTTGCGAAACCAAAAGAAAAAATCAATCAGTAGCGTAAAGAAGAAAAAAAAGTTCACAAAAAGCTTTTAAAGTTTTGGCATCACGAAAAAGCAGAAGGACCTTCATGTCAAGTTCACTCTTAAAGATAAATTACCAGCATGCGATGTTTAACGTTTCTATATGCAAAAAAGCAAATCAAAATTTCCCCTTCAAGAAAGACTTCTCCTCTCAAGAGGGAAATCAGCAAGCTCATCATATTCTGCCTTACTAACGGTGGGAAAATATTCCATGTGCTTCAACCTTTCTTGTTGTGTTGTTGATTTTATTTTCGCTCATCGTCGTCCTGTTGTTGAAGGCAATAAAACACGACAGTGAAGCGAGGAAGTTTTCCTTTCGTTCTTGTTGTTTTCTGCCCTCCTCTCAAACCGGGGGATTGTTTTGTTGTTGTTTTATTTTTACGAATTTTTTTTATTGTTGTTCTGTTGTGTTTCCTTTTTTACATCTTCTCTCCGACACAACAAAAAAATGTGAATTAAAAAAATCTCCGTCCCGCTTTTACCCCAGTTGTAAAAAGCACTGATACACAGGCGGGTGTCTCGACGACTGAGCGCTAAGACTTGATTTAGTTACACACTGCTTTCTTCGTTTTGGACTCTTCAAGATTGGAAAAGTATTGAATAACTGCAGTTGGTTTTCTTTTCTTATGTGGAGGTGGATAATGAAAAGAAAAATGCACAAGAGATGCAAGTGTGATAGTGCAGATGGTTGTTGAGTGTGACAAAAATAAATTTGTGAACATGTGCGAGTAAAAAAAATGAAAATCAAACAAATATTAAATAAATTATAATCTCAAGTGAAAAGAAAAAATTAAACTTTGAAAATTTAAGAATAATCGAAAAATAAAATTATTAACGCTGGAAAATGTTGGAAGCACATTGGCACCAAGTTCAGGTTCGTAATAATTCATTTGAAAATTAATTGAATCTTTTGTAATGATTTTGAGAGTGACAAATTAAATGGCATTTGACTTTAATTTATATTTTTGGTGAAATAAATTAACCATGATCATGATGAATGGAAAATTAAGAAACAAATTAACTGCTCTCTGATAAGTGACTATAAATTACTTTTGAATAATTTTAATTGTCACGCAGGGAAGAAGAAAATGACAAATTGAGTTTGAGACAAAGCATTCTAATTCTTATTCATAAAATAATAAAATGTTAGTGAAATTTCTGTAATAAATATTGTGAGCAAGTTGAAAAAAGAAGAAAATCAGAAAAAGCAGATTTTGCTACTGTAAAACAAAAGAATTCAGTTGAAATGTTATCCAGTAAGTTCTCCCTCAGGCATCTTTAAATGTTCACGGGAAATATTCGAAAATCTCTATGAATGGAATTTTCTCTCAGAATATGTTTTGAAAAAGCTTTTTACATGGAAAAAATATTATTCGTCTAGAGAACAGTTACTGAATTGTGATCGTCATCCATGTCATGTTATTGTGTTGTCTTTTTAACATTTTTTCCTTGTTTTTTTATTTTTTTATCTCACTTATTCTTCCTTCAATAAAATTGAGGAGATATTCGAAACACGGGAAGCAAATAACAATATTTTTCCGCTATTTGCAAACAATACAGAATACTGCTAGGATATTGATAACAATTGGATTGTGCAATGAGTCAACTTTTTTTTCGACATGTTACATATGAAGTGGTGACATGTGCAAGAGATTTTATAAACTCTTTTTTCACCAACGAGACATGTTCACAAAGTGAAAGTTGAATGAGTCTTATCAGTGATATTTTCTACAGCAAAAAGAAAAAATTAAGTTCAATTGTGAAACGTTTTCAATTTTACTTTACAACAAAAGTTTAAATTTTTTTAAACAAATTCCTTTCTGAAACTTTTCTCGCATGAACATTGCGACCGTTAACCTTTTTTTAAGTCACAGTTGATTAAAGTAACTCTTTCCAACAGGAACTTAGCTAATACTCTAAGCTGAACTTGTAATCGAAAACAAGAAAATCTCATTAAATTATCAAATGCTTTGAACTATCTTTCGAAAATAAATTATTGAAATTTCTATTCCTTCCTTCATTTAATTAATCAGCATTTGATTTGTTCTCATTTTTAAACTTTTTTCTAATAAGCATTTTCAGGACATTACAGAAAACGAAACAATTCTAATATCGTCAATTAAATAATCTGATGGAAAATTGAAAGAAATTTTCATCAACAAAATTATTATGTTAAAGATTTATGAAACCAGTGAAAATGTAGGAAAAATTGCCTTGAAATGAAAAAGCAAAACAAGGCAAGTAAAGTAAACTACGTTGAAAATATCATAAGCGTTCTTCTGATTTATTATTATTCAATTAATTATGCATAAATTTAATTTCGTCAGGATTTCGCTGGCCTCGACTCCATCTGTAAAGAACATTTTCCGCATTTTCTTTTTTAATTTCTTTTATTCTTCTCGCTTATTATTTATTTCTCTCTCTCTCCCCTTCCCATCAACATCTTCAAAGATATTTAAAAAGTCACAATAGCTTGCCATGGAAAGTTTATTATTCTTTAACGACTCAAAAGAGATTAGCTACCGCGAGTAGAGCACGCGGGAACAACAAGGCAGCAATTTACACCAAAACGTGAAAAAAAGAAACATGCTTATTTATTCTTCCCCCCTCAAATCACCTTTTTGAAGCTGTGAGATGCAAATCGGCAAAATCACGTAATTTTGATTACAACTTGTTTCAACAAAAAATATTTTCCTTTCGTTTTTCCTTGTGCTTTGTGCTAAGGTAAATTTATGACAAATTCCTTTGCCTTTTTTTTAATAAGACGTAATTTCTTCTCTTGTCTTAATTATTCAAAAGTGAAGGAAACCAAATTGAACTGAGGAGGAAATGAATAATCTTAAGGCAAGGAAAGAATATGAAACACCTCACAAAATTAGAATAAAATTCATTAAAAGTTCCCAAATCCAAAAGAATAAGAAATCAACTAAGAACTTTATTATTATTTCTTCTGTATTTTTAACAAATTTTTGAATCTTAAATTATTAATTATTGAGGGAGAAGTCTAAATGTTTTGTCTTTAAATGCTTTATCAAAATTTCTCATGAATTAGCCTTACAAAACTTAAGTCCCCTCATATCCAGAACGCCCATCAAGTAAAACAAACAGTCGCGCCAATTCAATCATTCCTAGGAATTTTATTATTAAAAAATTACGATATTCCTTCAAATAACAATTGCCATTTCGGGTTTCGGGATCTTTTACAATATATCTACATGTTTTGTGGAGTGTTATTTCAATTTAAATAAACAAACACATCATTAATAAAGTTAAAAATACGGCCCATTCTCAAATGCTGTTGAAAGCGAAGCAGAAGAATGTGAAGCGGCTGTTTATCTACTAAAGAGCTAAATAAGCAAGTGAAGAAAAAAATATTCATAGAGTTTTTATGATATCGACAAATAAGCAATGAGAGAAATTCTTTTCAGTGGAGAAGAAATTAGGGAACGTTTGCTATCCCTTGCAAATTTAATTAATCAATTAGAGAAGTTAAAACTTTTGACTTATCTTCATCCTTCAAATGATAATGAAATCATTTATAAATCAGCCTTAAATAATAAAAGTTAAGGTTTTCCATCATTTAGAAATGAATTTTCTGCCACAGTTTCCACAATGTTTATGTTGCTTGGTCTTCGTTTCCTTTACAAATACATATCTAATTGCTTTAGGATGGAAATTTTCCTACTGCACCCTCAAAAAATTTCGTTTCGCTCGAAAACATCATAAATATTACCACATTGCAAGAAGTATTGTAAACTTGAACCATTCCTCTTAAAATTTTACTGGTTTACCCAACAAAGCATATCCGCGAAAGGTACGATAATGATAATATTACAGCCGGATTCTGTTTGAAATCAAGTTTACGTACAGAAATAAACGAACGTTTAACAACGAGATGAGAGAATATAAAACTTCTCGCTTGTTTATTTTATAATGGCGTTTACTTATTTGACGTTTCGCCTTCTTAAAATTGCCTCATATTATGTTCATTATTATTATATTCGCTTTATTTGCTTGTTTGTTTGTATAAAACACACGCAATGGAAATATTTTAAGACGAGAAAAAAAAAACTGAAAGGAGAAATGAAACAAAAGCATTTTAAGACGAATTTCAGTATTGTTGATCATGCAGTATGAGATATTTTGCTCCATGTATGCGCTTTGTTGCAACTTGCAAGCAGATCACTAACAAAGTATTTTCTGATATCGCAGGGTTAAATTAAATCAAATGAGAAACTTCACAAATCTGCCTACATTTGATTTTGTTCTCTTTCAAATATCTTAGCAAGTCACATCTTGCTAGCTGAACAAACACCATTAACTGAAAATTATGTTCCATCCATAAAAAACCTCTTGTTTAGTTTTTTGTTTTTATTATTTATTTTTTCTTTTTCTTTACTTTTTTCTTCTCCATGACTCAAGAAGCATTTGAAATGCTTTTATTCTGTGAAAACATTTTTTAAAGTTGAAGCTCGTTTTACTTCCAAAAATATTATTTGTTTGTTTGTTTGAAGAAGAGAAAAGAAGTTTTGCTGAGAAAATATAAATGTGCTGGAATTAAAGAGAATATAAAAGAAAGACCGAAGCACTTGTATATGAGATATTTAATGGCCTTAAATATGGCCCAGTGGATGATGTAATGATTGTGCTATTAAGGTAGATAAATGGGGTGGATGACGCATGTAAAAATGAGAATTTTCTTATCGAGATTTGCGTCCAAATCGTAGGTTTTCCAACATGAGATGGATATGTTTACATAAAATGATACAATCTTAAGCATAATGTCTTAGAAGATAAAAGTAGGTGAAAAGAATTTGCAAGCACTTAACATAATTTTCTCCTTTTATGTTCAAGAAACTTAACATGTTCCGAGAACAAGAAGAGAAATTCTTTTTCTTCCCCCAATAATATTTCAAAATAATGCAATTTTATCGCAACTTTAGCTCATAACATCGTTAGCTTCAATTGTGTCATAATTATTGTTCAAACATGAAAAATCATTCATTCGGCCAATGTTTATTTGACAATTAACTTCCTGAATCCCCTTTTCACCTTTTCATGCACAGTTAACTTTTTGATCGAGTTACGATGACGATGGCGAAGAATGATTATTAAGTAAATGAAATCATCAAGTAAACAAGTCAACAAATCACATAAATAGAAAATGACAAGACTATGAAGTAATAAAATCAAAAATGAAATCCATTTGAATGTCGAAAACTGATTTTTGTTTTCTCATCTAAGAATTTATCCAACTTTCATGAAATTCACAGACATTTTCGTTCCAATTATGAATGTTTTTTTAACGAGAAAAGAAATTAAATTGTTTTTCATGAAATTTTATTTGCACTTCACCCGTCTCATTGTCGTCGCCTTGCTGCTTGCTTTTCGATATAAACAATTTCATTAGAGCTTAGCTGTTTTGTTTCTACACACAAAAATAAATGCACTCGACTTTGTTTTCATCAAACTTTACAAGCCTTTTGTTTATAATTGTTTACACAAACTGCCTTCACTTCAAACTCTTTACGGCATTTCAAAGTTTGCAATGAAACTGCACAAGCTGGAAATTCTCAGATTACCAGCTTGATGAAGTGAAAAAAAATTTGTAACCTTTTTCTTATTACAATTTTTCTGAGTTGGATGTCATTATACATATAAGTTATGCTGAATTATGATTTAACTCTACATAATATTTTCTCCTACTAAACCAAAAAATCTAATTTCAAATGGAAATATCAAATTTAACAACAAAAAGTAATGATAAATGAGTAATGAGTGAGTGAATTGTAAATGTTTCATCATCTCCCTTTATTGCATACTAGCTCACACATGGAACCACCGCAATATCTTGAGAAAACATCCACGCACACAAATATTCAAACATAAACGCAAATAATAAACAAGAAACTTTTCTGTAATGCCAAAAGTAAACAAAATCGACACTGTAAAAACAAGAGAAAAGCCGAAATTGAAGGCAGCAGAGGAAAAAAAATCATTCGGAGAAGAAAAAATAATAATAAATGTTTATAGAATAAAAATGTAAATACACAGAGAAGGAATAATTCAATAGCATAGCAAGACTTACAGTAATACTTCGGCTCAGTGTAAGGGTTCAAATTGCAATTCATGTCAATGAGTTGCGTCGTTAAATTTCATGTATTTGGATAGATAATTATTGGAATCCGGAAATATTTTGTTCATGATTTGCATCAGTGATGGTAATTCATAAATTTATTATCTTGCAAAATGATTGGCACTTGATTTCAATTAAACAGTGATATACTGGAAATGGGAAGAATTGTAAATTTTTGACATTCAAGTATTCATACTTTAAATGAAATTTCACTGTAATTTTTGTATACAACAAAATAGCTGCTTAACTCTAAAGCAGGGACTGGAACAAGATAATTGACTAGTTTGAAGTTTCATTAAGTAAGTAAATTTTATAAATGAACGAAGTTCTGATTTCATTTCCAATCTCTGCTCTAAAGACAAAATAAAACGCCGAAAGATGTTGCATGGGAGAAAAAGAATTGCTTTCTTACGCTTATTAAAATCCACGCCGCAATTGTTTATTAATAATTTAAAATGTTGATTTTCTGCTTTTCTTTAGGGAGCAAAATATTCGCGAGTGAAGGAAACGAAAATTTCGTTACTGATTTCTTGTTCATGGCTTTTCAATATTTCTCTGTGTTGATGAAGGGATGTAAATGGAAAACATTGCATAAAGACGATGATGATTATTAAACAAGCAATGTCAGCGTAAATTGGCAATAATGTAATTGTGTTTTGATTAGTTATTGCTTTTGTTGAATTATAAGCTCCGAGTCGACTGATTTGTTAGTGGAAAAGAAAACATAAACAACAACGTTTTCGTTCGTCCATCCATTAAGCTAATTTGATTCGTTGTGCTTACTTCTCAATATGCATACATCATCAGCATTTTCCAGTTTGTCCAATGTTTAAATACGCCGCTTGCGATTATTCTGACATCAGCTAACAACAAAAAAATATTCGAGAATCGAGAATCTGAAAAGAAGAAGAAGGAAAAGGAAAAAAAGAATTTTGTTTTTCAAACAAACAAAAAATAAACAAGAACTCTAGAAAGTTAAACAAACTCATATCCGCCAAGCTTCATCTTCAGCTAACAAGTTTTTTTGCTAGTTCTACTTAAAATTAGACTTTACTCTCATGAAGGAAAAAATGAAAACGATTTTGAATGTGAAATTTAATTCAAACCTGATGATGATCAGAAAAAGCAGCAAGTAAATTCTGTAGCTAGACTAACAATCTGAATAACTGTTACACGTCATCACCATCACCCTATGGAATACATTCCCGTCTTTCAAGATAGAATACCCTCGGAAATAAAATATTTTTATTTTTCTTTCATTATCGAAGGGTTTTTCCATTACGTTTCTATATAAGAACAAACTTTCCCTTCTATGAAGCTGACCGAACGTTTGTTTACATTAGCACAACAAAATAACAAAATATCTCTCGATTGTCATCTCCTTTTGTTGTTTTTTCGGGAAATTTCTCGCCTCCTTTTCTTCTCACTTGATGTCTTTCAGCGTGTTTTTTTATCGCCTGTTCTATTCGATATCCAAGTTCTCCAAAAAAAGAGACGAATCCGGACAATTGGCAGGAAATGTGTCAGAATTTTTGTTTTGTTTACATTATTTACCCGATGGTTGTCGATAAAATTCACCTTGAGGTAGATGTTGAAGATTACTTTGAGGGAGGTTTACTGATAGATATTTAATGTTACAAAATATGGAAAGCATTTTGATCAATCATTTTGAACGAATTTCACCTGCATCAGTCTTATCAGAAGACGGAAAGAGACAGAGAGTCACTTATAGTGTCATCTTTGATGAATTCCTATATCGTCAAGTAACACACATTTCTTGTCAGCATCTCGTTTTTTATAGTTATGGACAAACATTGGGTTCGGTGTTTACAATGAAGGGTCTGTACATAAGACGTGTCATATACAAACTCTCTTGAAATTATCAACTGGAAGTTTTTATAGATAAATTTTTCGAATCAAAAAAGTAATTTCATATAATTAGCTCGATATTTGATGAATTTGCCCCAAGTTTGTTTGGAACACTAAGAAAAAGCGAAATATAAAAAGTACTACATTGAATCGACACAACACACAATATAATCCAACACACACAATTTTTTAGGCGAAACACAAACAGTGCTGAAAGATAAACATTTTAATGTTTTTTCTTTTTTTGTTTAAATCAAAATAAGCAAAAAAAAACGAGAAAATAAAAATAAAATAAATAATAAATATAAATAAAGCGTCGACATGTGTGCTTTCTGCTTTGCCGTGTCTCGACTGTCTTTAAGATTTCATAACTACTCAGAAAAAATACTGATCATTGATCAAGTCAGAATTAAGTACACATTTAGAAGATTTTATTTCGACTTTGCTTTGTTGATCAATTTGATGACTTTGTACAGAGTGTACCAAATGATTGACTGGTCAAAAGTTTCTCAAAATGTCTGTTCAGTGATAAATATCTGTTCAGTGTTCTACCCTCGCTTTTTCGATTTAGATATTAAGCATCAAATCCAACCTTTCCAACAACATTTCACTGCATCAACAACATGAAAATCAACATAGCTCGACCTGAAAACACGCCACACATTATTTTCCTCTCGTGTAGTATTCGAAAAGCGTTTTTTTCCGTGTGTTTTATAAACAAACAAAAATAAAAACGCTCATATTTACGAAACAGACAAAAAAGCCTCGAGAATTAAGCGCGATGAAAAAAAAAGTAAATAAAAAAACAATTTTTAAGAAAATTGAAAGAAGACTTGAAACAAAGCACATATACACACTCGCATACAAGTAAAACATTTAATCATGTCGAATGTAAGAAAATAACAAACACACAACTATTTCAACGTTTGTGTTTTGTTTGATATTTTAATTTGCTGTTTTTTAATGTTTTAGTTTCATTTCAATTGCGGTAACGAAAGGTTGTGGGCAAGTAACTCACTGAGAACTAAGGAAGACACGAGGATTGCAATATTAAAAAAGAATTTTGAGAAATGTATGAGTGAAGTGACATCTTTAGTGTTATTCGTTTTTCTAAAACTAAGCCACTGTTCAAATACAACAAAAAAGTTAGAAAGAATTATAGGATACTAGAATATTTAATAATTTATTAAAAACATTACATTTGAAAATATTCAAAGTGATTGATTTGAAAGAATAATAATAAAATAATTCAATGCTGTGGATACAAATAAAAAATTGCTCGATCAAAATTAAAGTTTATTAAAAAGAATTTTAAATCATAACAAGACAGTTCATTAATTCACGACACAATCTTCGAGATTTTTTAATCTCACATCTTTGCCTCACCAATCCTGCAACGGATGAAGAAAAACTTGAAAAATATTAAAAATTACAAACAAAGCAGAAAATAAGAACACAAAATAGATGGAAGAAAGCAAATTATTAGTGTCAAAGAAAAAGAGAGGGAAAAAGGAATAGAAATAAAAAGGAGGCGGTGTTTATATCGAAGTAAGTGGCAACAGAGAAAAAGGTGTTGTAGATATTTATCTTGTGAAAAAAAGAATATAATAAAAACATCAACAAAGTGCATTGGTTGGGACTTGAACTAAGCAGATTTGATTGCTCGAAATTAAATCAAAAAATGATAGATTGAGAAACGATCAAGAATAAATTTGCACTTTAATAATTTGAGAAATATTTTCGTCTGTTTTAAATTAAAATAAAATCTTTCTTTGCATATATTATTTTTAATAAAAAGGGATATAAAAAAATTAAGTCTTAATTATTTCACCTTTCCTATTGATAAAAGAATTTATTCACTCGATAGAAAGCGTCTACATTTAAGGGCTTAAATGATACTGAAAAGTTTGCTCCGTTTCAAAAAACTCACGATGGTAACGAAGCACGATGCTGAAAGCGCATGTCTCGAGCTTTTTCAAGTGCTTTCAAGGCTTCCCCGCTTCTAGTTGTTGTTGTTGTTGACTGTTGTGTCATGTTTTCTTCTTATCTTGAGTGTCTCAATGAGAATTTTGTTGTGTTTTTGCGCCCTTTATTTTCTATTGCAAATGAAAAGTTCCGATTGGAGAAAGGTGAAAACACTTAGAATGAAGCTCAAACATTTTTCTGAATAATCAACATGAAATGGAAGCTGCACAAAAGCTTCGTTCTTCTTGTTATTTTTGTGTTGTTTTTATTTGTTGCTTTCTTTTTTTCTTGTTGTGTCTCTCGAGACTTTGCGAATGTTGCAATGAAGACTCGAGAACTCCGCCCACAAAAAAATTAAATACTCAAGGAATTGAAATTTTCGGGCGATTTGATATCGTCGCTTATATTGCACTTTTTTTTTCGACGATAATCAAACGTAATTTATAGATTTACATAGTTTTTGTGAGACTATTTTAAAATTGTCATTTTTTAATGGTGACATAACTTAAAGCTTTTTAAAGCTCTTGAAATATTTATTTGTTAAGGTGCTTTACTAAGCTTTCTTAGAAATTCTAATAAGCTAAAGATATCAGGTACCTACTTAGCAGCAACATTCTCATGATTTTTAGTTCCTTTTGACTTGACGCAACAATAATGAATCTCATATCATTTGGAAACGTTTTTACGACTACAGTCTGTTGAAAAAATCTTTATTTGTTTATTTCAACAAAAGCAACTCGAATAAACGAGGAATATAAAAACAACAAGCACACATTTTATTTTCTTAGGCAAATACAAACGAAAACCTCTTGAACAAGCGGAAAGCAGGCAATACATGCATGTCGGTTGGGTGAGTGAGAAAAGATGATAATGACGATGATGATGATGATGATGATGATGATGATGAGAGACTGAAAAGAAAAATGAGGGGAGGGAGGGGACAGGGATGGTAAAGAAAAAAAAACATTGTTTTAATCATTCACGTATTTTGAGAGCGTAATTTTTGCTTGTGATTATAAAATAAATAAAGAAATTAAGAAAAGTTATAAGCAGATCGCTTTTTCTCATCCGTTACCGTAATATGTGTGATATCATGAGAAATTTCCTCCAGGATGATGGGGAGGAGAGAAGAACAGCAATATGTGAAATCTCATTTAACGCGGAAACAACAAATTATTTTGATGCTACTAACAAAATTGATAGGAGAGAAAAAGAAATCACTTTGCTGATTTCCCTTGCTTAGATAATTCTCCCCAAAATCTCCCTGAATACATTCCGCTTCATAATCGAATTGATTTCCTGTTAATTATCGAAATGAGTTTGTTTATTATTCAGTTTTATGAAACGAGAAAATATTTTATATAGCATTGCGATCTAGTAAATAGATTTTGATTTCAATGCAAGAAAAGGGAGCGAAACGAAAGCAACGTCACGTTTCGAGACTTTGATTTCTTTTGGTTGTGAAACAAATTTTTCTTAATCATTAACTTTGTTTTAAAAAATGTTCAAAATTTAATAAAATGTTAATTATTGATAAAAAAAATTAAGCTTTGGCTTTTTCATATTTTGAAACATTTGTAAAGGAAGCAAAATTCAATCCAAAAAAAATGAGAAACTCTCACGTTAACAAAATCTGAAAAATGTTTGCAAACTAAACAATCACAGAAACTTAATTTTGCTTTCGATTCTTCTCTTTAATTGACCATTTCTACACTTATTTTCAGAAATATTGGAACATTCAACTTTTCTGTTAATCAATAAATTAAATTCAAGCATTTCTTGTTGATTTCACTCTAATTTGGAGTTTCGACGAATACAAGTTCTTAACTACATGCACAAGGAATTTGAACAGGACGTTTGTTCAATTTGTCTATAGCAAACATTTTTCTTCTCACACCTTCTCTTTCAATACAACTTCTGATGTCCAGAAGCAATAGAAAGAACTCTCCCAACTAAATGTTAATTCTTGTTGTTTTAGAGAATTGTTTTTTGGATTGTCCGGTTGAAAACTGTTTTTGTTATGGAAAATGTGTTTTTGTTGTTTTTACATTTGTTTAAATCGTTTTTATTTTATTTTCTTCTGTTTTGGAGCAATTGATTCTACTCAGGAAACTACCAATCCTTTTTCTTTATTTATGTTTTTATCGCCTCATTCTTCTAATATTTACAGTCGTAAATTGCCTCGATGAAAATTATTTTGCAAAAGGAAATCAATTTTCCAAAGTTTTTCTTTATTTAATTTTTGTCTGGTGATTATAGAAGGGTCGATCATAATGTGTGGGACAAAACAAATATTTGAATTCGTATTAAACATATCAATCTGTGAATTTTAAAATAGCTTCAATTACCCTCGATTTTCACAAGACAATTCTCTAAAGGAAACAATCAAAATCTCTTTCCTTCCACCTCGAAGCTGAAAGCATTCCAAAATCAATTTCCAATTAACGATTAAAAGTAAACAAATCGATTTGTTGGTTTATTTGAAAATCAACAAAACATCAAAACTCGATTTTATAGAAGTAGAAAATACTTTGGATATTTCCCGGCTTGTTTGAATTTTTCTCTTTTTTGTTTATGAAACTTGCAAGTCATTTGTGTCGGCTAATTTAAGTATAATATTTCTTCATGTTGGTTGTTATAAAATTCATGAAATACAAGGTATTGAAAAGAAAAAGATGAGAAAAACTCAAATTTATTTAAAAGAACAAAGAGAACACAAATTCGTACAACTTGTTTGATGTTGTGATCACAAAAAAGAATCGAATTTCTTCATGCCATGATCACATCCTTATTCAATAAGCTTTCTGCATAAATTAGAATCGATTTCAGATAGGTTAAAAATAAAATTTATTTCTTAATTGGTGTATATCGCTACCAAAAGCTCACTAAGCAATTAACGAACTGAGGCTTTAATTCATTAATTTACGAATATACAATACTTGTAATGAAATTTTGACAATCACAGTTTAATATTAATGTGATTTATTGAATAAGTGATTAAAAATATTCTTTCGAAAATAGATGAGACAACCGAATTAATGATTACATTGGATTAATTCAGCACCCAAATGACGAACCCACAACAACATCATGTACATAGTCAGTTTTCCAATGTTAGATCATCGCATGTTTAAGAACATTTAAATCGTTCAAAAGTGAATTTCAACCATACAAAACCACGCTTGATTTAATGCGTGCGATTTTTTAGTTAATTTTTTTACCAAATAATTTTTGTTCATTCACAAATTGTATATTTAAGTTGGTGACTTTTCGTTTCTTGATCAATTAAAGGTGAGAAAAAGACAAACTAATCACACACAAAATTCGCCGTTGTCAATATTTAGACGACCAAAGTTCCATACTTTCAAATTATCTTCACTTTCAATCACATTTAAGTCATCAAAGCCATTTTTAATACACAAAATTATTTAATGATCATGTGAAAAGCAGAGATCAGTTGACATACTGACTATGCTAATATCATTTAGAGCTTTGGAAAAACTTAGTAAATTAAAACATCCTTAAAATAAAAAGAAAATTCGTGAAAATCTTTAAAGTTTGAAATGTTCAAATCCAAAATGAATCGTAAAAATGTTTATTAAGTTTTCCATTTTTAACATTTATTTACACATATTTTAATGTCTGTTTTTTGGGATTGTTTATTTATCTATTTGGTTGTTATCATTACTTATATGTATCTAAGCAAATGAGGTGAATTTTCTTTAATGATTTTTAAACGATTTTTTTTCGAGTTTGCTGAGTTAATGTGCAAATCCAACAAAATTTAAACATATTTTCCATTTCGAAGCATTATCATGAATTTACCTCATGTCGCACATCATCAACGTATAACATTTAGAAATGTGTAACGACAGAATGAAGAGTGAACTGAGTGAGTGGTTTGAGGGAAAGAGGAGACAAGGGAGTAAATTTTATACATAGAATAATTAAAAGGGCGGAGTTCAGAAGTATCTCGTTTTTCCTTTTCTCGCCCTGAGAAAATTCTTCTTTCAACTCGTCTCTAGACTGATACGTGTATGTGCATATATTGTGTCTTGTGCAATAGGAAAAAAGGATAGAAAATATTTACATATACGTGTAATTTCTCTGAAATGTACATACATTATGAGATATAGAAAAGGAAGGTTTGAAAGCTTTTGATTTTTTTAAAACAATTTCATGAATCTTAAGCAGATTCTTCATTCTGCTTTTAATGGCAATTTCAATCTAAATAAAGAGTATTGATGTAAATGGAACTTTTCCAACCATATCAAAGCTTTTCACACAGAATATTTGATATTTATATTATTCTGTCTGGAAACATCATAAAAAAGCTTTTTTTTTCATTTCAAAGAACAACGATAACAATACAAATATAAAAATACTTAAGCGCAGCTGCACTGCTACTCTTTCTCTCCTTCTATTTCTTTCTTTATCTGAAAGCATTTTACAGTTTAAAATGAAGATGTAGACGAAGTAGCATATAAAAGCATCCTTTGCAATCAAAAAGCTTGCATTTGTATGTTACGAAGCTTTGTCTCACACTTCACAACCCGAAGTTGCTAGACACCAATAAAATTCTTACCATGTTTGTTGTTGCAGAAGCATAAAAAAATCATTTTATTTTATTATTATTTTATTGTTGTTTTGTTTCATAGCAAAAGGAACATTTATTTCGAGAGGAAGCCGAAGCGAGACAGCTAGTAAGTTTGCATGCAACTTTTTCTGAGTTCTTGCAGTCATGCTTAACACCGCCTCCATTTTCGAATCTATTGGAAAAGCGAGTTAATAAAATGAATTGAAAAATAATAACAAATAAAACATACATTACCCGCCCTTCAATTGCTTTTCTTTTGCTGCAACAGTAATAAATACAAACTTAGCATTGACAAACAATGCTCTTTCGAAGCAAGACTTTCTGTTGGTTGCAAGTAAAAATCGCATTTTGCATCTTACGCCCTCTTATACTGCATAAAAGCGTGTTTTTGTTTCTTTGTTTCTTTATTGTTATGCTTCTCCATTTTCTCGACGACACATATATACACAAAATTAATCCGATGTTAAAAAAGCGCACACTTTTCTAGGATTGGAGCTTTTCCAAATGGAATTGCACTACGTAGCTATAAGAAGAGTATGTAGGAAAAATAACAATATGGCAATGGTGCTGCTTGCAGCTTGAGACTCCCACCCTTCACCCTTTCATCGTTCTTTCATTGCACTGCCATTTGTTGTGTATCGAAGCGAGCTTTTATTATTTTATATACTTTGCCTCTCGTTGATGCTGTTGCCTCTCTGATTGCTGCTTATGTTTTTGTTTTGCTGTTATATTTTTGCTGTTTCATTCTCCAACCCCCAAAACGCTCGTTCGTTTGCTTATTGCTTACAAAATGAAAAACAAGAAACGAAAACGAAGAAAATAAAAACAGCTACCGAAGTTGATGCTGTTTAGTTGTGTTGTAGCGCAAAACATAAAACAACATTCAGAAGAGTTCTTCGTGCGGCAAAGAAGAAGTTGGCAAAACGTTCTCTTAGAAGCACAAGCTTTTTATCAAGTAAATTGTTAAGACTTCATTTTGATTTTTTAAGAATTTTAAAATCTTTAAAAGTTGTATTTTAATTTTTTGATGCTTTATCAAAAACTATCTGTGTAAAATAAAAGAAAAGCTTTTAAAAAGATGAAGTGATGTTGAATGTTGAAAGGTGAAGAATTGAGATTAAATTGAATTTGTGCTAGAAAAAAACGAAATGAAAAGTTCAATGAAAGTTATGAAGATAAATTGTGATAAAATGAAGCAAAGCAGACACAAGGCCATTGCACATTTTTATTTTTCTAACGCGATTCAAGGCCAGGCCGTTTCCACAGAAGCGATTAAAGTGCGACAGAGTGGGTGGCTGATATCACAGACAGTTTGACGAGCCATTCCACCCCAATAAGCCTCTCTTTCCTATCCCATTCTCGGTTTCACTCGCCCGTCTCGAATTATGTTGAAAAGTCTACGCAATGTTATGCGTGTGTATGAGACTCTCACGCAACAAATGGTTTTCCCATCCACCCTCTACAGCCCGTCACACACATTTCACACATTTTACCCGCTTTGGTAGCGTGCTGCGCTTTTATGCCATATACTTTTTTTTGAAGTCGTTTAGGGTGGAGATGAAAAGAGAAAGCAGATTAAATGACACATTTTTTGTACTTGCGGTCTATAAATGTTACATTTAACACTGTGGGAAAATATTTTTAAATGAAATTTAGGCCGATTTGTTGCCTTATATTTGAATTGCATTTTTACGATTGCTTTTTATGTGATAACATATTGAAAGCCCTTGAAGGTTAATTGTATGCTTTCTGTTAGATACTTTAATATTAACTCTAAAAGATTTATTAATATGTTTTATAAATTAGAATTTTTTATAATTCTACGTCATTGAAATAAGCGGAAACATTAAGACAACTTCTCACTGATATCCAATAAATTAAAAGAAAAAAGAAATATTTCAAAAATTTAATTATCACGCACTTGACTTTTATTTATGATTTACTTTCTTTCCCATTTCTTCATTTAAGCGATTTCCCCCTCAGGTGAAAATCAAAGATAAAAAGAATTTTTTTCTCTTCACATTTTAAAAATTTCACCGACTCTGAAATATTTTGTTGGATTTTTTTTTGCCTTTCATTTTGCCAACTTGGAATGGCATCACATCTTTTATCACTAAATCAAGTGCCGTAAATCTTAAGCACGAGACTCTCTCGGCATTATAATTCCATCATTAGTCTCATTCTCGCAACGATACTGAACAATGATACATTGCCACAGCAGTGAAATGAATATTAACAATACATCCATAAATATGCAAAAAGAGAAGAAAAAGAAAGAAAAGTGAAACACTTCAAAGGGCAATAAGAAAGCCAACCACCCAATAACGAGCGAGAATATGTGGGGGCGCGTGGAAGCAGAAATATCTATAAATTATGTGGAATTTATAATGCTGGATGGGATCACTGCAAACACTGCTTTTATTACGCATTTTTCGCGGAAGAAAAAAAACTTCTTTAAATTGCCGACTGTATAAAAAATTTCATGCATGAAAACTGGGTGAATGTGTAGGGTGGAATTCCCAAGTTAAAAGAAAAGCAAAATATATTTATCTATAAGAAACATGTATCATCACAAAACAACGATCATAATCATAAAAATTCCCATAAACAACTTTTTTCTCTTTGCAAAGCATCAGCGCTTCTTTCATACTGTTTGCTTCATGAATAGTTTGAATAGGAAATTATTACATTATCGATTATCAGATGATGATATTTCTTTTTCAAGAACGAAAGGAACCTTCATCGAGATTTTTTTAAAAGAAAGAAAAATGAAATTCAATTCCACCCTCTTTCGATGTGAGAAAATTGTCTCAATCAGACAACAAAGTTTTAAGCTTTTTGCCTCCTCGTAAATAAAGAAGAATCATAAAAATTCATGAAAATTAAAAGCATTAAATTGGCTTTGTTGTATTTCAAATGGGTTGATGATTTCGCCTCATTCCACCCACACTCTCTGCTTCATATCGATATCGACACTTTCTCGCACGCATATAAATTATCGAATTTTTACCCCAACTTTTGAACGCCTGAGCCTAGGCTGCTTTTTATTGAAGTTTTATTGATGCTTGCTTGCTATTTGCTTACAAATTTGTTTCAAAGAATCAAAACATAATCGAATGTTGGTGAATGTTGAAGGTTTATTAGCCCTAAAATACATGTGTCTACTACCTACCAGTCACCTTGAATGCTTTAAATTCTTCTGTGGAATCAAATGGAATTCTCTGGTTTAAAAAGAATTCTCTTTATTGCTTTTTAAAGTTCTTCGGTCAATTTGGATTATTTGCTATTTCAGTGAGTCTACTTACTTACTCAAAGGGTTAACTTAACAGAAAACGTAAACAAAATATTTATGGGCTGTAGCTCTTAATGGACATAGCACCAGTAGGAGTAAGGAATCTGCAGACATTCGGAGACTTAGTCAGATACGAAGGCGAATAGTTAAAAAAAAAGGGTTTTTACAACCCCAAAATTATGCTATTGATCCCTACTTGAGAACTCCACTCGAAAGCCATTAACCTTTTCACAGTTTCCACTTTCTTTGAGATTTTCACTCGTTTTTTATTTTGTTGTTGTGGGGAATGACGACGGAAGTCAAGTGCGAAGATTTTTATTCGGGAGAACCATAAAAATTAAATAATTGCGTCAAGATTCAAGGATAATATTGAAGCGGTAAAGTGCTTGATGGGGTTGGCAGTTTAAAGGATTCCCGAGGGAAAAGTGTAATAAGGTTTAATGGCAATTGTTATGAGCGTTCCCTAAGAAAAAAGTTTCTTTTCTCATTCTCACTGTTAAACTCAATTTACAACATACAACTCACGTCAAAGTATAATCGATGCCAGAAAACCTGACTCATCAATTTACGAGCGACACAACAAAATTTGAACGTTTCTTTTGCATGAATTATTGCCTCGTTATGAGTCTAATGGCCCTTGAATGGTCCTCCACGATCTCGTCTCCCGGTCGTTGATGTGCACAACACACGCATAATTTTCATGAATGTCATTTAATTTGAATAAAAAGCCCATATTTGCGAGTTTCTCTCATCCTCCCCCGCATACATTTTTTTATGAGAGTCGCAAATCTTTGAATTTACTACACTTTGCTTTAGTTCTATTTTCCAACAATTCTTTTTTTATATTGTATAGCTTGTGTATTGCGTACATATGTAAACAAAAGACATGAAAAGAAAGAAGATAGGAAAGATTCAATCAATAAATATTGAGAATATGCGGGCGGGGATGAAACCGACAAATTATCATGGCAAGAACACAAGAAGAACACAAAATCGATTGTGAATGTATTTAAGTAAAGTTCATTGAAAATTTTCTCGCTTTTCTTTTTTTTTATTATGGCTACAGATAAATAATCTGAGAGATGAAGATGAAAATGAAGATGTGCCAACTTCAATGAATGGTGATAGCAATGATCAAATGGACACTGTTGATGACTGCAAGCCTCACATTACTTTCAGCATAACAGACGCTATAAGAAAGTCAAAAAATCATATAAAGAGTTCGTTAAACTTGAATGATAATAATAATAACAATTGTAACAAAAGCGATTCGATTGGCGACTCAGTTGAAACATCAAACGGTCACGAGTCACCATTAGGTGACTACAAGCAATTGTTTTTTGCATCAGCAGATCAGAACAATAACGACAGCGAAGTTAAGACTGACGGGAGCTTTCGAGGAGCATCTAAACAACGTTATCATCAGATGCAACAGCTGCTTCAGCAGCATGTTTTTACACCCCACCAGCTTCAACAATTGATTGTTCCACCAATGACGATGTCAACACCAAAAGATTCGTTATTTCATTTCGAACAAAAACGGAAGCAAATGGAAGTTCTCATGCATCAAATACAAGAACAGTTACATGCTAATATCCTACAGCAAACTCATTTACTACAAAATCAGTCGCCGACGGGAGAAGGTGGCAGTGGGAAAAAGGGAAGCACTTTCCAACTGCAACAGAAATTAGCGATTCAACAACAAGAACTTGCACAGCAATTTCAACTTGTACAACGTCAATATTTGTTGCATCAAAGTGGAATGCAATTATTGTTCCCGCAACATCATCAACAGCAAGCTCAAAGTGAGTGCCATATTTAAATAATTTGTTGACTTTTCATTTAATCTTTAAAACTTTCTTATCACATTCTTCAACATGATTTCGCTTTTAATAAAAATGCTTTCATTCTTCATCATCAACATTCATTCGCAATTGACAGAGACATTTTGTAAATATTTAGGTGACTGATGTAACCTTTCATTTCACCAAGATAAAGTCACATAGATTAATCCTATTTGTGACGTAATTATCAGACAACTCCCCTTTTTAATAATAATTATTTTCTTCCCTTTAAAAAATATCCATCAATTTCTCATCATCCCCTGTCTTCACTTCATTGCTTTCGTTTCTTTTCTGTCAATTATGAGTGCGACTCTCGCTGCAAAAGTAATTAAAAATGAAGAAGAAAAAAATTATAATCGCTTCCACCCTCGTCCCGCACATTATTTTTAATCAATAACCATTGCCACCCAAGACATCCGCTTGAAATCTTTCATTATTAAAAGTTCCTTCAAGGATTCTTTGAGATGAATTCTTTGTGTATCTATTCCAGATCTCTCACATTGCAATGAATATTGCGGCGATGATAATAATCATAAAATCCATTCGAGCGATTCAAAGGGGCATCTGTTTGAGAGCAGCGAGCAAAGTGACGATAAAATGAATTTTAAAAATGACACCAACAATAACAAAAACAGCCATCAAAATGAAACGACAAAGAACAACGTGAAGGAAAAGGACGAATTACCGCGTGAGTGTGAACAACGTGATGAATCGCCAGCAGTGAACAATTCGCTTGAAAATCACGTGAATGGAAGTCAAGATGAAAGTCCAAAGTCAAAGCATGGTGAGCCTAAGACATCTGAGAGTCCTACCAACTGCATCAGTCAATTTCTCAATTCAATCATCAACTTCCGTCGTGATGAAATGACTTTAAACTTGAATAATATCCTAACAGGTGCTAATCAGTCGTCTGTGGCTTCTCTACAAACACCGGCTGCAAATTTGCTTCTAAACGATCTGAACCGTAATTTCTTAACAGGAAGTTTTGGCTCTGATCACATGAATCCAGCCTTAGCATCATTAGTTGTGAATCATCAACAATATTCAAAGTATGGACGAGGCGCTTGCAAATGGCCAGGTTGCGATATGATTTTTGATGATTTACAAACCTTCACAAAGTAATTTTTGGATTTATTTCAAAATTCCTTCATTGATGTTAATCAATTTTCTTTTCTTAAAAAGACATTTAAACACTAAACATAGTATGGATGATTGCACAACAGCTCAAGCTCGCATTCAAATGCAAGTCGTATTTCAACTCGAAATTCAATTACAAAAGGAAAAAGATAGACTTCAAGCAATGATGCATCATCTTCATTTAACAAAAGAGTCAATGGCAGCAGCTGCAGCAGTTGCAAATCTCGAGCAACGTCAGCAAACTCACATTAAATGTGAGACGAATGGAGCTAAAAGTGGTGGCAATGTGGGGATGTTGTTAGATGAATCTTTCATGTCACAATCAGTTCCATCCCAACCTCAGCAACAACAACAATCGCCGTCAGCAACAACTCAGCCAATACATCCAAACACACGTATACGATCGCCTTTACACAATATCGGACCGATCCGAAGGCGAATCACTGATAAGTCAGCAATGTCTTTATCAGGTGAGATTTCTCTTGTGACATTCTAATGAAATTAATAACTTTAGAATCTAATTTTAAAATTGCTGGCTTTTCTAAACATGCTGCTTATGATAAAGGTCGGTTTAGAAGATTTCTCATGTTTTATTTGCATCTTGTTTTAAACTTAACTTTCAATTTGTCTCTTCAAATGCAAACTAACTTTATTTAAAAAGGATTACCATACATGCTCGAACGAGCAGGTTTAGATGTTCAGCAAGGTATTGATCGGAGATGATTTAAAGGAATTTTCTTTTAGCAATATTTCTTAATAATTTTTTTATCTTTTTCTTCCTTTTCCTTCATAGAAATTCAACGAAATCGTGAATTTTATAAAAATGCTGACGTTCGTCCACCGTTCACATATGCGTCTTTAATAAGACAAGTTCGTAAATTATTCTTCTCAATTTTATTAAAAAATTATTTTTCATTTCATATCTTCAATTGAAAATTCTTTTTTTCTTCTTTTTTCAAATAAATTTCATAAAACTTCCATTCTCAACACTAATCGTCATCATAACTAATTGCATTGCAGTCAATTATTGAATCGCCCGACAAACAATTAACGCTCAATGAAATCTACAATTGGTTTCAAAATACTTTCTGCTACTTTCGACGCAATGCCGCCACATGGAAGGTAAAGAAGAAACTTCCCGGATGGGAGGTAAACACAAATCTAATTTAAACGGATAAGTCTTGAAATACTTGTAAAAGAAAATATAAGAAAAAGAATGCTTTTCTAAAGATATCAAATCACGGAATCGCTTGGTCGCGTTAAGAAGATTAGAAGATAATTAAAAATGACAAATAGACTCCAATCTTCAATGCATGTCCATTTTCAAAATTCAATTGAAATGAATCGTTAAATTAGCAGCGAAACATTCTTTCATTTCTGTTCTAAATCATTCTTAAAGTGAGCTGAACATTATTTAAATAGAGAAAACGCTGCACACCACAGGAGATCCCTTAAGAGAATTTTCTCTAAACCTCAATGTCTGGTTGGTGTAAAGAAAATCACATTTTCGATAATTTTATTTTCGTCTTTTTATTTTTGCATAATTTTTATCTCTGCTTATTTTATGGGGGGGAAAAGATGGGCGAGGGAAATCACGTGTAATGCGATACCCTCCGACATAACACTCACCCACAAGTTCGTCCGCGCGAAGGGAAACACTTTACAGGAATATTTCTGCTGTTTTTATTCTGTCAAATTAATGCTGTTATTATGCGGCAACGGAATGTGGTTTTACTCCCACCACCACCACCACAACAACCCCCGTCATCTCATCCCATCCAATACAAAAGTCAGTTAAACGCGCGAATGGTAATTTTTGCGCTCTTAGCATTTTTCTTTTATTAATTTCTTTTGTAGACTTATTTTGCGGATTCGCTCTTTTATGTATTTCTGAGTCTTTAATGTAATCCACTTCGTGATTGTGATGATAAAAAGGAATCACTTAAAGAGAAGTGAGAGGGACACAAGAGATTCAGTTAATCCCCATTTCCCAAAGACTTGCTCATGAGAATTCTCATATTTAGATGCTAAAGTTAAAGATAATAGATTAGAAGATTTAGAAGCAATTCTCTCGCTAATCTCTTCTCCATACTTTTTAAGAAAAAAAGAAAGAATAAAATAGGAAAAGTTTTAACCTTCCCCGAAGCAAACATCATTTGTTGAATGAATGAACGGAAAAAAACCTCTTGGTCTTGATGATGAACAAAAGACGCGGAAGAAAGAAAACTCGTAAAAATTCTTAAAAAACAAAATTAAAATCCACAAATCAAGCTCTTTCTTTACCGTCCCGTTCCATTCACTGACTTTTCCTATTCATGGTCAAAAATAAAAAAAAAATTAAATTGTTATCCACCTACAAACAATATACAAAAAGAATGCTGTGCGTCACAATTTATCGCTCCACAAATGCTTTATGCGTGTTGAGAATGTGAAGGGTGCTGTGTGGACAGTCGACGAAATTGAGTTTTATAAGCGAAGACCTCAACGGTGTACGTCGTCGAGTGGCGGAGCAAATGGACAGCAAATCTCAGGTCAACAGAATAGTGTGCCGTGTATTGAAGGTGGACAGCAACAACATTCCATCGGGTACGTCAGAAAATCCCTTATCAAACTTAATTGCTTTCACCTGATTATTCCGTAGATTATAAAAATTCAGAACTTTCCACTAAAAATTTTCTTTCATTAAACTTTTCACAAATGCATTTCACCAAAAAAAACTTCATTCTTTATTTCTTTCCTTTTCTTTATGTTATTAAATTTATTTTCCGTGAAACTCGTTTTCTTCCTTCTGATATTTATGCTAATTTTCCGAATTGTTTTATTTTATGAAATTAACATCCGAGATGATCTTTTGAAGTTTCAAGTTTATTCACCTTAACTTAGAAGTCCAATATCTCTACTCGTAGATAAAACCGTTTTGGAAAATGTCAATTTGGGAAACAATTAAAAATTTTCGAAAGTACATTAAAGGGAAGTTAAATTAATGATTTCATGCGGTAAGAATTTTAATTTAAAGACTTGAATATTCAAAGGATCAGCGCGATTTTCAATGATGGGGGTGTGTAAGTCCCGTTCAGTGTCACCCCCATCATTTCAATTTCTTTAATACCACTGGTTTCAATTCTCTTCAATTAATCATTTCTTTCTTACGAACTAAAATTTTCCACACTTTTCCTTTTTCCAATCTCTACTCCTAAAGAATATTCATAGTGAAAATTGATTTATTTGATTTCTGGATTGGTGATAAGAGAACAATAAGAAAACTTTTTAATTCGTTTTCCTTCTTTTATTTTTTTGTGGTGGCAGAAAATTCTAAATTTGCTTTTTTTTCTCATTAAGAATTTGGAAATTGCATTCGATTTATTTTTTGTTTTCTTGTTTTGATCGAATTGGTATCGTGAATTTTTCAAGAATTTCCGTAGCGTTTTGTTTTGAGTTTCCTTTTAAAACTTCTGTTTCTTCCCCACCTTCCATTACAAATATTCGAATTCACAAAGAAAAACATACTAAAGAAGAAAGTTTGAGTCAAGTCAGACATTCGGGGGAGGAAGTTTTCCTCCCTCGTGAAAACTTTATGGGCGAAGGTCGAAGGTGACTTTAAAGGTAAGTGGAACATAAGAAAGAAAAAGAAAAAAAGCTCTAATAAAGTAAAGTGAAGACAAACGAAAATCGATCGAAAGGACATTAAGGCTCAAACGTGGCTCTTAATAGCTTTGCAACATCTTTCTGGGTCGAACGTGAAGAAGCAAAATACGGTAAAGTTTTCTCCACTCTTCTCAACTTCTCTTTCTCTCTTCATTGTTTTTCTTCTTTTTTTACAGTTTGCAAATAAATCGAAAAGAAAAAAAGAAAGAAAGTTGAAAAATTTTATATTCACGTTTAAAAAGTTGAAACGCTATCTTCAGTAATGTTTTGATATCATGTTACAATTGATAAGAAATGTGTTCAAGTGAGTCTAACAAGTACTTAAATCTGACACAGGCTTCTGATGACTTTTGAGGGCTATTACACTTCTTCCTTCTCAACTTTTGCTTGATTCTTTTCTCTTTTATTAACATAACATTTTCTTGCTTATTTTTTTTTTAATTTCTATGAGATTTTTCTTCTTCTGACTGAGCGATGGTTGTGCGATAAAGTGATTAGAAAGGCGTCTCTAAATATTTACTTACCTACATATTATCAGTGTTTATTAAAAATGAGAGATTTCTGACAATTAGATTGATGTCAAATTAGTTGAAAAAGAGAGATTAAGATTGGATTGGGATTAGATAAGATTAAATTTTCCTAACATTTGCTGTCAGTTTTTTTGCGATTAAGTTTAATCTCCAAAAAAGCTGTCAGATTCGAGTTAGATCAGTTTTAATCTCAAAACCCAACTTCAAACATCTGAAATTATGAAAACATTGATTTCTATCAGAAATCTCATTCATTTGAAGCATTCAAGAACATAATTTTTCTCTCGACTCATATTGATTAAAATGATTTTAAAATTGATGTACCAAACAAAACTTCCTTTAAATAACACTGTTACGGAATGATCGATCATCTACTAGAATGCTATTCGAACAAACTTGTCTTTGCACAAATGTTTCGTACGCTATGAAGATGACTTTGGTTCGTTTTGGATGGTTGATGACAACGAGTTTGTGAAACGTCGTCACTTATCCCGAGGACGTCCACGCAAGTATGATCCGTCACCATCGCCAACTGGCGATGAGCACTCCAATGCCACAAATCACAGTTCGAATAGTTCTCAGGCACCAACTGCCCCAAATGTGGGGGATCAACCTCAGGGAGTGAATCTCGAGAGCGCTCAAGGCATGACAGCATATGCTTCACCAGCGAACTCAACGACATCTTCAATGAATTATGCCAATGAAGGAGACTTGCTGGCAAGTGGACAAAATAACGGCGCGAGTGCTGGTGTTGCACAGTAAGACTAGAATTGAAGTCAACTTTTGTTTTTTTTAATAAAAAGTCAAAATCGAAATTCCCGAATCGTCGAACACAAATCTTTAAATTCTCTTATAAATGTTATGCAAATATTTCCCATGTTTTTTTTTCGATATTATAGTCGTTCATTGCATTGTTAGTCGCTTCATAGCAATTTTTTCTGTCAATTAATCGGCATATTTGTTAAGTTCTTTTTTTGCAAATTAAGTATTTGGGGCATCATTGAACATTCGAATCAACTTTGCCTGAAGCTTTGTATAAATGTATAAAATATAAAAAATACATAATAAGCGAATAGTTTTAAAAGTGAAAATATTACATGCATCATTGCAAGGCTGTAAAAATGGGCTGAAAGGATTATTTATAATTAAATTTTAATCATATTTTATCTAAGACCTTTCGTGATTAAATTTTGGTCAAATTTCTTTTAATCTCAAACATGATGAATAGAAACTTTCTCAGAATTGAAGAAATTTATCTTAAAAGATTTCTCAAATTTAATTTAAGAGAAAAATTTATCTAGTTGCTGTCTATTTACTTGTCTATCTATTATAAAATGACACTTATATCTGGCATGATGATTTTTGTTGAAGTTAAACTGTTTTGTCTCGCTTTGCTTATGACTTGAGTATGAAAGTTTTGCACGTATCCTTTAATTACTTACTTAATTACTTCTTGCATGACTTTTTGTTCTGATTCTCCAATAATATACATTATTTACCTCTCTAAATGTTTCATTGATATCTTTTCTATATACTTTTTCTCGTCTTCTGTCTTTCATTCTATTTTAAATACTTTACTAAATAAATGTTTGTAATCGTTAAGACAATTCTCTAATGTTACCTTCTTAATTAATCTTTAAAAACTGCTGAGTAAAATAATGAATAAACATTTTCATTATAATGTTTTCTATGATAATTATCCAAATCAGAAACATTCAACGCAGTCCACGATCAATGCACAGCCCACCACAAAACATTTATGGAGAAAACATGGCCATAAACTTCCAGGTGAGAAGATTACTTCGATACAAAATAAGTGATCATTAATAAATTTTTAATTGTTTTAGAATTTTTGGCTTTCACCAACAAATCTGTTGGATGATAATTCGCCAATGTCAAGTCATCATATCAAATCGGATAAGTTTCGTTCACAGTCACTTAGTCCATCAAGATCACCCGGAAATATTCAACAAAACTACTCGAGGTTTGAAATTAGATTAAGACACAAAATTACAACATTTTATTTTGAAATTATTTTAGTCATGAGGACAAAATAGATCTCGAAATGATGTCTCATCCATTCAACTATGACCATCATCAGAATCGTCGCAAACAGAGAGTATACAGTAAAACATCGCACAAGGAATTACGTGATCGTGAACGTTTTTATCAATCTAGAAGTGCTGATCATTTTGATCCTCAAAATTTCCACCAAAATCATCAAGTTGAGAATCTCGTGAAACATGAAATTATTGATGAGGAGGATGGAAAGATGGAAGATGAGTCTGCAGAAGATTTACGACAGTCAAAGTCTAGTAACGTCAATGACTAGTTCTGCTATACTTGAAGCAGATTTTTGCCATATCAAGAGAGCTCTTTAAAAGAATGAGACATTAATTTTCATGTGTTTAGAAGTTCTGAGATAAATCTGAATTTAAAATTTCAGAAAATAGAGAAAAACGTAACATAAATCTGTCATTGTCAACCCTATATCCATAATTATTCAACTAAATGCATTTTAAATGTAACATGAAGCATAGATTTAGGATGAATAACAGTTTATTAGGATGTTTTAACAACTAATTATCATGTAACTTCATAAGTATAAAAAGTTTCTTTAGTCTCTCATGAACACACGAAAAAAGTTAAGTAAATATCACGACTTTTGAATAAGTTTTTTTCTCTTCCTTAAAAAATAATCAACACCTATATGTGAAAAAATATTTATTTCGAATTATGTTTCTTTGAGTTTATCTGAAAATGTTTAAAATCTTATTTTTCCTTCTTTTAATTAATGAGATAAACAGTCATACATTACAGTATTGAGAATAAATATTCAAACTTATTATAAAAATAATTTTTCAAAAGGATGATGGTGAGAATTATTTAGTTGAAAGTAAGCTGAGTAATTGCAACTTCATCTCTTTAACGTTTTTAAAAAATTTCTATAAATTTCAGCATTGTTATTGTAGTCAAAATGTATTCGTGATTTACTTATGATGTTGATCATAAATTATGATGGAAACTCACCACTTCGTAGAACTGTTCAACCTTTAATAGCTTCCAATTCAACTTCCCTGATATAAATTATAATCACTTCAAATTGAACAGTAAATTGAGATGAATATTCTGAAAGAAAAGCGTTAACTGAATCAAACAATTTGCTAAATTTTTTCGAGAAAGGAAAAACTTAAACTTTGTTGTTTATTTACAAGAAATCATTTTATATTTTGTAACAACTTCTTAGTTAAAACTTTATTTGTTCTTAAAGCGAGCGCTTATGAAATATTAGTCGGTGTCTGGGTCGGTAAAATTGAAACAAAAATCTCATTTTAGGTAGTTATCGAAAAATATGCTTTTGCTTCCATCTTTTTTGTTTTTACATTTTTGCAAATAGTTTTAGATCATCATCTTATTTAGAATGAAGAAACAATGAGTGAGCTTTGTGATATCTTTTTCTCTTGAACAATCAATTAAATTAATGTTCATGTTTGTGATTGGTAAAAGTGTAATAAAATACGAAGGTTTCTTATTAAAACTTACTTCTAATTAACATCTAAATTAATCGCGGAAACTTCAGAAGAAAAAGAAATTCAATTAACAATTTGTTTTCGAAAATATTTAGTCAAACAATAAAAATTCATTTCTTATTCTCTTCTCGGCTAAATATAATAAGTATGTACTAAGTATAGTCATAGATATTTGCTTTTTCTTTTCTTCTTACTTATTAATTAATTAAATTAATTTATAATTATTTAATTTTGTGTAGTTCGTGATGATTCAAACTAAAATATTTCTTTTAAATTATACAAAACAAAGTTACGAAGGGCGGAAGCGCTTCAATTGTGATTGTTGTGATTGTTGCATCATTGAAGTTCGCTTGATTGCAGTTCCACTTGATGCTGCTGCCGCTGTTTTGCTTGTTGAAGGATCTAAATATTAATATTATTAAATGGATGATAAAAGATTACAAGATATGATTAAAACTTGCCTTGCAACCATTTAACTTGTGTGGCTGGGCCGTAGCCTTTCTCATTCCTACAAGCGATCCTAAATATGATCGCTGGCTTCGATGTCACATCAACATGAGCTGTTTTTATCGTTTCCATCGCTACATCACATTGATTCTCTTTCCCTACATAAACTCTTGTAAATGCCAACTGATTGGCTTTTGTTGGATTGGGATCTTTGACTGCTAAATACACTGAAAATTCTGTGATTTCACCAGTCATTGAGCTTGGAGGTTCCCATGACAAATGTGCACCGTCACTTGACTTTGAGATTTTTATTCCAGATGGAGCCCCTGGGAATCCAGGTAGGCAAGTCTTGAACGATGACGGCTGTACAGAAAAAATCATTAAGATCGACAATACGAAATTCATTTAGTAACTTCTATTTACCTCACTGAACTTTCCAACTCCACAAGCATTAACTCCTGCTATTCTGAAACGATAAGCACGTCCCTGTTCAAGAGGAATTTTCTCAAACAAACTGAGATCAGGAATAGTTTCACTCGTCAATTTATCTACACATGTCTCCCATTGATAATCTATGTAGTTTGTGACGTTTTGTGTTAAAGTCTTAAAGATTCCTACGACCATCCATTTATCAGCATCATCAACGGGATCTTTCGTTTTTCCGCCATTAGACGAATCTCCCAATGATGACACAAGATTGGCAACTTTGTTATTGCTGTTGATGTTATTTGATGATGCTTGTAATGCGGCAGCTGCTAAAGCATCAAGCGATTGACGACCATAAGAATCGCCGTTGAAATCGTTCATTGAATTTGTTATGATTGGTGATGCAAGTAAATTTTCATTAAGTGAATTTCGAAGAGCTCTGAAAAGAAATTTTTATTAGAAACACATTTTTATGCATCAAAATCTCTTCTCACTTCTCATCATGCAGAGGAATCACAGTGTTGACAGAATGTGATGATAAATGACTCTGCTCGCTGATGGTGCTTAAAATTGCCGCCGCTTCATTCTCTTCGAGTTTATCATTACTTCCACTTGTGGTTATTTTAACACCCTCATTACCTTCGTCACTTGTCTGCTTCTCAATTTTCACAGTACTTATTTGACTTTCAATATCATCATCATCTTCCTGATCCATTTCTCCATCAAGATCATCAACCGCTCCATCAAGTTGGTCTATTCGAGGTTGTGATGAGGTTGAATTTGCTGTCGCTGCTGTAGCGGCTGTTGCTGCTGATGTAATGCTAGTTGTTGAAGTTGCTTGTACAATTGTTCCCGAAGGCATCATAATAATCTTCTGTTGACCTGTTGGTCGAACAGTTCCACTATTTCCCAGAAGTGTTACTTTCTTCTGTCCAGCAATTTGAAGTGTCACAGTTCGCCCACCAATTGTTATTGGTTTTTGTTGTAAAACATTTCCAGCTGGCATGACAATACGTTGGGGAGTCGAAACAGTGTTGATCTTTATTTGTTGACCACCACTTGAAGATGCAACTACTGGGCGAATTGTTTGAGCAACATTCGCTCTCATACCTCCACTTCCCATAATGATTTGTTGAGATTGTGTAGTGTTGGGCTTCATAATGATCTTATTGCCACTTAGTATTGTTCCTGGCATTAATTTAATAACATTTCCAGTAAATGTTGGACGTTGAACATGGACAGCACCAGCTGCTGAAACAATCGGCTTTTGAACAACTTTTATTGCTTGATTACCTACGACACTTGATGGCATAACTTTGAAAACAGATTGTCCTCGAATTGTTGGTGTTGATGTTGCAATTTGGAACGGTTTTTTTTGTGGTTGTTGAACTATAATCATCGGCTTTTTGTCAGAAGCTGCAGCTGTTGCTCCTTGAACTGACTGATAAATGAATTTTGTTGGAGTTGATGCTGTACTTGTTGTCGCTTTTTGTGGTGAAACAGCTTTCTCTTCTTGTTCTTCTTTCAATGCTGCTGTCGTTGGTAGAGCAGCTTTTTCACTTCCACTGCTTGCATTTGCTGGTAATTTCTGAACTTCCAATAAATAATATTGAGCATTTGGTATCGAAGTCCAACTAAGCTCCAACGCACTCGTACTAGCTCGAACAAGTTGAACTCTTTGTGCTTGAGGTGGCGGTCCAACTTCCAGATACCATAAATCTTTACAGCAAACCTGAAATATTAATAAGAAGATAACAGTGAGCATTAGTTTCAATTATTATTAAAAGTTTGATCGAATGGATGCATTTTCAAAGCAAAATGCTCACCCGGACCTGGTTGTTCCAAGCTTTCCTGTAGCCATCACGTCCGCTCCAAACATATAGTCGACCATGGATTCCAACTGCACAATGACCTGCCCTTGCCCTCGGAATATCTTCCGATTCAACTCCAGATGCTGGTTCTGGTGTCACTGCATTATTGTTTATGTTAATTTGTTCCCAAATCATTGTCTTCAGATCGAGAACAGCGAGAGTGTTGGTGCATTGCCATTCTTTTTCGCATGTGAAGTTGTCGACAATTAATGGCACCCAACCACCGAAAATGTACATTTTATCGCCAATGAGTGTTGCACTGTGTAAACTTCTTGGTAAGGGAGAAGCACCAGTTGTTTTCGGACGACTCCATGACAATGTTTCGATGTCAAGAATCCATAAATCTCCCAATCGACATCCACTCATTCCTCCATAGATTACTAAATAATGCCGTCCAACGGCTTTGTCATGCCATGCAACTGCTGTGTGCGATTCTCTTGGTGGAGGGCATTCTCCATATGTGATAGGAATTTCCCAACTGTACTGTCCGTTTTTTATGTTGAGTATATACAAATCATTGAGATATTTTGGGATATTATGTTTTGGATCGTCAGATTCATTTGCAAGGCCTGCAAAAAGGAAGACTTTATCGCCCACGAGAGTGAAGCTGTGTCCTAAACGAGGGCATGGAGCATCACCGGAAAGTGGTGGTTGAGGTCGCAATTTTTTCCACTCCCATTTAGTTGCCTATAATTAAAATATTTATCAATAATGGGAAGTTCTTTTATTTAAAAAAACTTCATACTTACTTGTAGTTCGTAAAGTTCATTTGAGTATTTTCCATATTCGACCATACCACCAAATATCAGAATTCTTGTTCCATCTACTACAAATCCGTATGCTGCGCACCCAGGTGGAACATCTCCTTTAGTTGCCGGTACATACCATTGATTTGTAACTGAAATTAAAATTAATAATGTTATTTTGATAATCAACAAAACAAAAGATTGTTGAAACAACAACAAAGGATGGCCCGGTCACAGCCGCGCTTTATTCTATGGCCAATTTTTAGCGTCTCTTTGGCCCACACTAACACTTCCATACATTGCGGCTGCATTTAACGGCCCAACGCCATTTTTTATTTAATTCAATCACAATTTTCAATGATATTTCCCAAACTTAAGGAAATTTAAATTTATAGATCAGTTTAATTTACTTACATGTGTTATATACGTGTAATTCATCTACGATTCCTTCATTTCCTCCTCCAAAAACAACCATTAGTTCACGAATGGCCACGGCCCTATGGCCATGTCTATTTAAGAGAAATAAATGTATCAGTAACTAAATTCTTACTAAAAATAGCAATTTATTCCACTAATTATCAATAACTACCTTGGACGAGGCTGAGGGCCTGTCGAGTTTTGTATTTTTTTCCACTTCAACATTTGTGCGGCCCTAAATTTTACACCTCGGCCCGGACTAGTTTTTATCGGAATTTTTGACACAAATTTGAATTTGTTTATACGTTTTTAAGCTTTAAGTGGTTATCAATTAGGATTTCTTCTATCACAACTGTTTTTCACGAAAAGTTTACATCAATTACTATGCGTTTTTCACTTCACTTGTAAATGTTTGCTTAGTTTCAACAATTGCCTATTTTTTTAAACAGTTTTTGTTCGGTCGTGTCCGTCCCTTCATGCAACCCGCGTACTGACTGATTTCTACTACTCGAATACCCTTGAATACCGTATTTAACGTAATTGAGAGACATTTATTGGATTATGCTGACTTTTTTTATTAAGTAATAATAGTAGTAGTTTGAGAAGCCTAAATCCTAATATTTCTAGCTAGGAGATGTAATTTAAGGGAAATATTCTCATTTCAAATAATGTGATGTTGTGCTTATGAGAGGAAATTATTATTGTTTTCAATCCGAACTATTAAGCGAGTGCTAAAATTCGATAAATACGGTACAAATTTGTTCTCCTTGCTGAAACAATTTTCATTCCCCCTTTTAGCTTTTGTTTTGATTATTTTGTTTTAAACTTATTTAAGTATCGCTTCCATACTAATACTTAAAATTAATCATCTGAAATGTTTCGATTTGTCACTTACACTTTTCATACTCAACTGCCAATAATGTTACTGGGTTTAGAACATTAGGATGTTATTAATAAAAGATTTTCAGTCTATTTTTTCTAAGAAACATCTGAAAAAGAAACGATTTGACGTTAGATAACAGAATAATAGAAAATATAAAACATTTTATTGACTAAACATTTTTAATATATCCGATCCTTAGAAAAAAATATAAAACCATCTCATTTAATTATACAACATATTTCCTTTAAAATTTTAGAAACAATTAAAGATTTGACTTAACAATATAATCTCGATATGAAATATCCTTCCACCACTCAGGTCTTTCAAATGTTCCGGGAGTTTGATAAATGACAGACTTTAAATGATCATAAATACGACCATCGCTCATTCCTAATGGTGAATTGATGATAAAATCAGGTGGTGCGATTGCATCCACCAAAGTGACAGCTTCCAGTTTCAAGATAGGAAGAATGCCAAGAATTCCAGACTGTAATATTTCACAAACATTCAGCCCCATCTCAACAAATGAGCCTTCATAAAGCGTTCCAATGTAGTTATTAACAATTACATTTGCTCCATAAAGTGATAAAAGTTTTGATAAAACATCTCGTTCTGGGGAAGGTGTTAACGACTGAACTTTCTGATAGAACACTTCAAACAACGAACGATGTCCATAAGCTTTCGCAAGATTAATTGCATAAAATACTTGCGAATTGTTCCGAATGTCAAATTGCGACTGACCAGATGCTTGAAGTTGTTTAACTTTGTCATATGTTCTTTCCAAAAGGTGAACACAAATCCAATTGAATATCGTCAGTAAATCTAATTAGAATATTAAAAATAGTGAAATGAGAAAAAACTTATCTAGAAGTAAAGAATTTACTTTCTGGTTTCATTGCAACGTTCGTTTGAGTCCACGACCATTTAAGTTTTTTTATTTCTTCTCCATTTTTGAGGAAGTCAACAGAACCTAACGGTGACACTTCTCCAAAAGCGGACCATCCTTTTGCTCGCGTATTGATTAGAAAGTTTGATCCTTGTTGAATCAAAATATTATTTTCACCCTCATATGTACAATTAGCATCATTTTCATTTCGAAGATCACCTAAATGAAAGTCAATAACGTTTCTTCGAATGTTATGTTAATTTTGCTTGCATTTTGTATACCTAATCGAGCACATTTCAAATATCCATGTCCACCACAAGCTTCACGACATTCCTGAATCACATCACGAACTGTCCAAGCACAGATTGGCTTTCCGACTGATGACAACGCATGAATCTCCATTCCTGCCGTTGCCATATCTTCTCCCATAAGAAGTTTCATTGTCATGTCTCCATAAATTTTCCCTATAAAAGTTGAAAAGAATTGAACTGCATAAACTGCAGCAAGATGTGGAAGCATTCGATATTGCTGAGCTTGATATTCAATTACAGGATATTCCACATTGCTATCTTCAGGTCCAAATTGTTGACGAGCAGCCGCATAACGAGTTGCGATCGTAATTGCTTTAACCCCATAAGTACTTGCAATCTCACAAATTCCTACCCGCCCCCCTGAAAGAGCTCCCAAAGATTTTCCCATTCTCTTCTTAGGATCTTTAAATTGTGAAATGAAATTGCCAGCATCATCAACATCGCCTGTTTTTGAAAGCATATAATCTTTTGGAATTTTATAGTTGTTGAATAAAACTGGAAATTAAAGAAGGAATCGTCGATCATCATCAAATTTCAATATTGTAACACATTTTAACATACCAAATCCATTATCGACCCCATTAAGAGCAATTTTTTCACCTAAATCACCCACGACAACGCCTGGAAATGCTAAGAGAGTTTTCTTATCACGAATGGGAACAACAAATGCATTCAACCCATGACATTTTCCGTCAGGCGTATAAAGTTGAGCGTATACAATTGCGTGGGTGCTGAAGTGTTTGAATAATACCAAGAAATGTTAAATTGAATATTATGCAAATGCTAAACAATTCTTACCAAGTCTTTCCTAAATTTCCAACCCAACATTTTGCAGCTTCAAAATCAGGAGTGTTTAGGACAAATGTCTTTGTTTCTTTTTCAAATGTTGCTGTTGTTCTCATTCCACGAGCATTACTTCCATGAGCTATTTCAGTCAATGCAAAACTACCAGCATTTTCGGCATTCAAATTTTCATTAACAATATCCAATGTTCGGTCAGATCCAAGTGTTCTGATTGTATTTGGAAACATTCCGAAAGCTAATGACAATTTTACTGATACATTGGGATCATACGATATCATAGCAGATGAATATTTGCCAGATAAATCAGGTCTCTCCATATATTCTTCAAGTCCATAAAATTTCTCATTGTAGAGTGTGTAAACTCTCTTTGTGGCTTGATGTCTTTGAACATCTAGCGGTAATGTTTCATGTGAACGAAAGAATAACGGATTATTCTCCATGAAATTCCACACTTTATATCGAAGTTTCCAGGATTCTTCATCTTCAACTATTAAACGCAATTTACGCCAATCAAAAGAACTTTGGCTGCGATAAACTTTCAGTGGACCGTCAAGCAAATGCAAGTCCGGAAAAATGTCCTTCCTTGAGAATATTTCGGGCAGAACCTGCTTTGGCAATCTAAAATAATCGTGTTATTTTTTTAAAAGGTAAGTACGAGTATTCCGTGGAATAAAATCTTGTTATCTATTCACATACATTGAACGGTCACATTGAACTTTAATCTTTGTTATTAGGTTTTTCATTTTTATTAAATTATTGACTATTAATGAATGAATTACTGAACTTACCCATTCTTCTTGATTATTTGGTTTATTCCTGCTACCATGCTTGTCATTTTTGAAAATTATTTAATCTATAAAGCATAAAAATTATTATTTTTTGTTAGATATGTTCAAGTAGCAAAATATTTAGGTAGATATTTACTTTATACTCAATGAGTTGCAAGTTGGAACGAAATAAATTTGTGAGACGAGTTGGAAAATGAAACGAAACGGTGTTTATATGTACCTTTGTTAGCCTTTAAATTAAAATTTTAAATCAAATTCAAACTAATGAATGCAAAAATGCATCGTGAGATGATGCTTTCTTAAGATATTAGCAATTTATAAAAAAAATTGAAATTTAATGTCATGTTTTCAACAATTGAGAAGAAGTGAAAATTTATTTTACACACCTGTTGACTTGAAGAAATGACTGAGTGAAAAAATTATCATCTAACATTTATAACCACCTAGTAGGTGCTTATCTGTCATATCAAATATAATAAAGATATAAAAGAAAACACACTGATAATTAATACACAAATGAGGAAATATTTATTTCGGAAATTTTATCAAAAATCTTATAGTAAATCAGTCTTAGTTGTGGCAGTTACATATGTGAATAAAATTGAAAAATTTATTAGGAGAAAAATAATTCTTGATTAGTAATTTTGGCTTGTTTAGAATTTGGAATTTTCTTTTTTGTCCCATCGCCAAATTGATCCGTCATCACATGCCGCTATCAAAATTCTACCATCTCTAGAAAAACTCGTCTGTCGAACTGCTGAATTACATTTCAAATGAACTAAAGTGCTTCTCTTATTCACTGGAACTTCAGTATCCAAATCAAACACAAAAACTTTACCAGTCTGACTGCCAACGGCAAGAAGCTTCATCGACAGATCGAGTTCCATTCTCATGAACCAAATATCACATTCAATTATATCGAAAGTGAAAAGTTTTGACACGACCAAGGTCTTGTTACTAGACGAAACCTTCCACCATATGATGTTATTTTCACATGACTTTGTTAGGAATGTGTCTCCAAACCATTTAACGCTGTCAACATAATTTCCATGAACATCTCTAGTTGAAAAATCAGGAAAATGCAATCTCACTGCGACGAGTAGATCTCGTCCAAATATGTCAACTTCATTACTTTTTGCAATTTTTTCTTGGACATCTTCTGAATTTAAATTCCACACCATAATGTTGTGATCAATACCACCTGAAATGAATTTATGTCCATCAGCTGAGATATCGATAGATAAAACTTCGTCACGATGGCCTCTTGTTCCGCTCCATATCGCTACGCATGTTGAATTTTTGATATTCCATAATCGTATTGAGTAGTCTTTACTGCATGTGAGCAGAAGTTGAAGATTTTTTGGATGAAACTTTAAGTCGTTAACGGCCCCAGCTGAAAAATATTAAGAAATGTAATTACAAGCAATTTTGTTTAAGCAAAATTATCTTACTGTGCCCTATTAAATTTTTATAGCATAATAAAGGTAATCCATTGCACTGAATGACTCTGACAATTGCTTTGACTCCACCAGCAGCTAAAACTGGACCGCTAGAGTCGAAACTCCATGCAATTCCATTAAATACTTCATCTTTATCAGGTTCACTGTATACTCTTATAAGTCTGATTGATTGTCCTTCATTGTTACATTCACAGCATTCATAAACAGAAATTTTATTTCCTGCGGCTGTCGCAAAAATGTTTCGATCTCTTACAAAGTAGTTGAAGGAAATTGAAAATATTTGATTTCCCGGTGATTCAGAAATTGTTGAAATGAACTTAAAAGAAGTTGTGCTCGGTTTGCGACCTCTTTTTGATTTTTTAACATGTCTACTGGAGTGATTGTTTGATGTTTGGCCTTTTGAATCTGAAGAATATTCCTGACGAAAAGAATCAAAGCTGTTTTTATTTATTATTGACACATCTTCAAATAAAACTTACATTTTCTGATTCCTTTTCTGGTGATTCTGTTGAATTGGTCATGGTAAATGTTAAAAGTCTTAAACGTTCTAGTCGAAAATAAATAAATTCGAAGAAATTAAATTTATAAAAAATATTTTCTATGTTAGTTTAATGTTGTTAGATTAATGTGGCCGAAAATATATGCTCGAAAGGGTGTGAGAGTACAGTAAACTAAATTTAAATTTTCAGTGTCAGTTATTTTTATTATTTTTATTTTATCAACCCATTTTTACAAAATTTCAGTACTTCCACCTCTTCTCGGGTCAACCACACCTTCAACCACTCCATCATTTTTTGCTATCCCAACAACAGCAGCAAATCCTCCATCAGGTGGATTTTCCACAATTTGGTGTCCATATTTTTCATTCAAGTCTCTCACAATATCTTGATCAAAATCTGTATCGAATTGAACATGCATTGGTGCTAACTGGTGATGCAAGCGTCTTGCACTAATAGCGTCTGTAAGAGACTCATTCATAAAAAGATGTTTTATAACAGAAAATGCAACTCCTGTTGGTATTCTGCTCCCACCAGCTCCACCAATTATTAATCTGCAATAGGAAACAAAATAAAGTTTCGAATCGAAACTTTAAAAATAATTGGAACTTGCTTGGGGTTCCCGTTCTCATCAAGAAGAATTGAAGGCATCATGGATGATAATGGATTTTTTCCAGGCTGAATAAAATTTGCTGGTGATGCAGGAATACCGTAAATATTAACGAATCCGGGTGTAGAGAAATCATCCATTTCATTATTCATAATAATTCCAGTCGATTCTGATACAAAGAACGCTCCGAATCTGAAAAACCAAAATTGGAAAATTATTAAAATGTATTTTTAAATTCACAAGAAGAAAATATTATTCTACAAATAGTTGATTGTAGAAGTTACGGCAACTGCATCCCCATTAGGCATTAAAATTGAAATATGAGCAGTTCCATGATCCTCCTGATTCTCATATCTTGCTCCATAATATTCAAAATCATCAGATGTTTTTTCATCATTAATTAATTCTCTTATCTCTTCTGCATACTGTATGTCAGTTAAATTCCTCATCAACTCCTTAATCTCGTCAGTTGGTTCGTCACCCAGCAAACTTCTTTTTGCGTAAGCAAATTTAAAAGCTTCGACTATACGATGATAAGATAATGAATCATGCTTAAGATCATAATCTTTTAAAAGATTAAGTATGAATGGAGTAATGGCACCATTGCTAGGAAGTGGGAAAGTGTGGAAAGTACTATTATCGTTGAGCGTAGTTGACACAGGGTATCGCCAACGAACTCTAATATTTTATCAAAAAAAGGAAACTTTCAAAGGAAAGCAATTCAATGTGGAATTCACATAAATCTCACTGATAATCAAGTAAATCTTCGTCAGTTATAATTCCACCTCGCTCTCTGATATCGTTGATTAATCCAATTGCAAGAGACCCTCTGCCATAAATTGCATCTGCACCTTCTCTTGCAATGATTTCCAAAGTTTCAGCAAGTTTTGGCCTTTTAATATATTCGTTGAGCGCATAGCTTCTATTTGTTAATGGATTAATGTAAATCTCTTTCAGTGTAGGTTCATTTCGAATACTGTTTTCATTTCGTGAAAATATATTTTGAAGATACGGAGACACAACATGGCCATCTCTTGCTAATTTTATGCTTGGTTGCACAAGTTCTGCCCAAGGAAGTTTTCCATATTTTTGGTGAAGTTCCCAAAGGCCTTTTAACTCTCCAGGTACTGCAACTGCCTTTTTAGTATAAAAATTATAAAATATAATTTTAATGGAGTTTTTCATTCAACAATTCTACCTTTCCACCTCTGACAGATGCACTTGAATCATTGACAAACATATCAGGAGTAGCAAGCTTAGGTGCTACTTCTCTTGCATTTAATGTCTCAACCGTTCCTGTTTCTTTTATGTAAATCGTTAGCAAAAAACCTCCTCCTTCAATTTATTTATTGCTTAATCATTTAAAACGGTGGAATTTTCACATATTCATACTTACCAAGCCCAGATGATTGTGGACATGTTATACCTTCACATAAGACAGTAGCAACGGCAACATCCGCTACATTTCCTCCTGCTTTATATATTTCCTTTCCAATTGCAGCACATTCTATTCCATTTGCTGCAATAGCCCCTTGAGAACTTTCGCTGCTGCTGCTATTGAGTGTTGCATATACTATTGCGAAAATCGATCCTCCCAAAATTAAAAGCAGAACGGTGGCTTTAAAAACATAAAAACACCACTTAGATGTCGATTTCTTCATAACTTATCACAATGAGACTTTGGTGGAAGAAGGTTTGAAATGCACTAAAATAAATATTGAATTGCGAAGTCTAAACTTGAATTTAATCTTTCGAGATATGAAATATTGGAAGTTATCAATCATTTTACAACTTGCTGAAATAAAATGTCTTGTAAAATATTGAAAGGTATGAATTCATTCCATCTAATTAACTTAAAAATGAAAATGAAGCTTTCCAGATGTGTATCAAAAACTATTAAGTAACAAATTATTATTTAAGCATTGCACAGTTATAATTTTATGTTGTAATATCTGTCAGTATATAGCAAATGCAATAAGATTTGACTAAATTTGTACGACATTTCAACATCATTCAAGTGTTTTTGTTTACTGCTATTAAAAGTTTTTCAGGAATTTTGCCATTTTCAGAAATCAAAAATGTTGAAAATTTCGACCGTGAAATTTTATTCACGTCACATAGCAATACTTTTGGAAATGAAACGATAAGATTAGTTTTCAAGGGCATGACAATTAAAGTATTGAATAACATTCTCACGTTTATTGTGTTAACTCCATTCTGTCTACTCAATATTATATTTTGTGCCATCATGCAATAATAATTAAATTTGGCAATTGTCCAATCATGCTTTCAAAATTTTAATTCAATATTTGTGCTTTTGAGCAACAAGTGTTTAACCGTTGAATTTGAAGAAGAAAAAAATGTGTCGAAGGAAACGAAGATACGTTTTCCAGTTGAAAGCAGAAAGTGAATAATAATTCCAATAGGAAAGTTATATAAAGAACTTTTTTCTTCCAGTAAAATAAAATTAATGAAACGGACCAGTGAAAGTGAAACATATTATAAATCTTAATGTTCAGTAACCAGCCTTAGCTACAAAAATATGTTTTCCTTAGATACTGAAGGTGTACTAAAATCTTATTTACCCAAAAGTTATAAAATTAAAATTAAACTTAATCCATAAATCAAAAAAGAGAAAAAAAAAAATTAAAAGCATGTTTCATAGTGTCAAAAAAGAAATGTAAAAAAGGTTTATGAATCTTTGAAATGATATCTTAAAGCTGACGAATGACGACCCTTATCCAATCATCTGCTTACCTTTTATGATTTCTTAACTTTCATTATTTTCTTGGAGTTGATCATCTTCACTCGACTTGACGATATTTTTGAGAAGAGAGGAGAATGAGAAGGTTTTCCATCAAATTAAGTTTTTGAGCTTTTTCCCTTCTGGAGATTCTAATCCAATGAACTTCACGTCAAAACCTTTTCATCGCTTTTGTGCGTAAAAGCTTTGTAAACATAAGGTAAACCTGTACAATTGAATGTATCAAATATGGCCAAAAAAACGATTTTTCCCTTAACGCCTCAGCTAAATAATTGCACGGAATTATTGTGTGATTTTCATTACGTAATGACAAACGCACATACATATAAAAAAGCATCCTAAATAAACGTTAGTCCTTTTTTTGAGCTTTGATCAAAAGTTTCGATTTCGCTGATATATGCGCGATAGCACACTTTTGCGTGTTCGCACATATTTTTATGCCTTTACATATTCTGTCCTCGCACTTCTTAAAAAAATGCTTCGGTTCAATTTCAATTTTCTTTTTTATACGTTTTATGCACATCCACACAAGCCTATGTGCGTCTACTCGGTACATAATATGTACACATATTCCTATTTATTTTCTGCGAAGAGATATTGATGGTAACAAAACATGAAAAAAATATTGTTTACGGAAAGAGTGAGGTATGTCATTCGCATAGAATTCAAGTCTCATATTTATTGCAGGAAATTGTATTTCCAAAAATATGTCACGAGATTTCCTTTAAGTCTTAAATACTTATGTTAGCAAGTTGTAAGGAAATTCAAATCCTAAAACTATAATCTTGTGGAAAGAACTTTTTGGAGCTAAGGTCTGTTATTTATGCTTATAATCTCACACTTCCTCTTTTAATTCGCAATGGCCCAGATGAGCAATCAATCATGTTCAGTGCTGGCTGCTAGCGTCTCTAAAGTATATTAAAGTATACAAGAAAAATCGACTTGAACGCTTGAAACATTTTTTCAGAATCTTTCAAGATAAACATACAATAGGGAACAGAAGATTAAGGCTGTTACTTCTATTTTTTAGGGTGCAAAATCTGCTACGTTTATGCACGCTGAGAATCATACAAGCACAATCATAGAAGACGAAATTTTTCTTTTCATCCTATCCAAAAAAAATTAGATTTTATTCAAAAATTTAATATTTTTTGATCACGTTGTCAAATTAATTTGTTTCTTTTATGCAATTTGTTTATGGGTTAACCTTATTAAATAAAATATAAAACATTTAATAAATTTTAAACCTCGGCAGTTATGAGATATTAAGTGACTTCGAAGATGTTGCTTTTAGACTTTTTTAAAGATATATTCATAGTTAAATTACCAAGAAGAGAAATAAATCGAATTGCAGAATTCAAAAAGTTTTCCTTTAAATGTTTTTTCGATCACAATCTGTGAGCTTTCTGAAACTGATGTAAACACTATGAGTAATGGAAGCAGTCTTCCGAAAAGAACATTAAATCAGACACTCTCAACCCACCTAAAGTATGTTGCGAAACTTTTAATTGATTTGCCAATCGAAAGGAGAAATTAATGGATTTATTTTAAATCAATTTTTTAAGTTTCTGTTTTTCAATCATAGAGTTTCAACCTTCTGTAATCAACCCTTGACAATATTTATTCTTGGTTATAATTAATTTTTATACAACTCAGTAACAACGAGATTTTTAATTCATTGATGTCTCATGAGTCATGACAATCTCTAAAGAGTAAATTGAATTGAGTTTGGGTCAATCTGCGTTAAATTACATTTTCTTGTGAAATATTTTTCAATAATTTTAAGCTTCCAGCTTTTTACACACTCGACATTGTTCATGCTTTGTAACCGTAATAACAATTTTCGTAAACATCTTTCTAATATGAAAAGAAACCATTGTGTCGGTATAAAAATTGAAGAAAATGAAAAAGAAAATTTTCCCCATCTGAATTGTTTTGTTATGAAGATCCTATCTACCTGTTACAGATGGTAGATATTTCGAAAAGATTGTTTTCTTCAGTCCATAGAATTTCAAAATTATGATGTTTCACATTCATTTCTAAACCAAAATGTCTGAAATTTAATCTTTAATTTTCGTATTTTCGAATCAACCTTAGAAACTGTGCTATGTTTGTATTTGATACATTTTCAACCTTGCCCACTTAAATAATGATGTCACATTCCCTTTCTTTTTAATTTTCGCTGTAATTTTTCTAGTAGAAATGAGATATTCTAGGTAGGGTTGCAAGGGTCCATGAATGAAAATTATTAAAACCAACGAAATAAATATTATAGAGAATATTTTTTTGTCTTAGATTTTTTTGTGAGGGCGTAATGTTATTATAATACTCTGTTAATAAACCATTATATTATTAATAAATTAAATGTTTTTTTAACAGATTGCCTCATTACGTAGTGAACTTTGTCAAGACCAAAACGTTTACATTTTTAAATTTATGTAAAAAATTCTTCACCAAATCTAGCTCGTAGCTTTTCTTAAGAAATGACAAGCAAAGAAGAGAGAAGTTTCATTATTGTTACTTTGTCATATTTTCATAAATTCTATGTTCCAAGTCATCTTTTTCAAATCTCTTTAGCCCTCCTTCGTGATTCCTTGGCATAATCTTCACATCAGAATATCTGATAATATTATCTGCAACTGTGGCTTGTTTGCTCTTTTTTTCATGATAATGAAATCACGTAACACAACTTGGCTTGAAGGTCTTAAGAAAATCTTTGTGGAATGATGCATTAAATGACTTAACCATCAAAAACTTAAGGAAATGTTAAGTGGCAGGCAAATTGAATCGAATTATATAATTTTCTACCTATATTAAATTTAGAATGTCTTTTAAGAATGAGAAAAGCGAATGAAGTTATGTTTTGAGAAAAAAAATTCGCTGGAAATGATAAGCACATCGGAATCGCGATTTGCCACAATCAAAGACAAATCTCTTCTGTCATCCCAAACTTTCTTAATGAACGAATAAATTCCTCCACAAAAGCATCTTCCCCTCGCACGCCAAAACGCGGCACGATAAATTTTCGCACTTGACAAAAATGGTAAAATTTTAATTAAATTTCCTTTCATTTCTCGACAAATTTTGTTTTGAGGGCGACATTTAACAGGAAAAATAAATAACGAATGAGAAAGTTTTAATTGCTCGCAAATAAGAGACAGGAGAGAAAATAAAAATAAAGTTATTATTTAACAATTCAATAGTAACCCGCAGGAAAATCAGGATATTTCTTACAACATTTTCTTTCCCTAATTTCCACTCAATTTACTTTTATTAATTTTTTTTTTATCTAAATTAAGAGTTCCAAATATTCATCATCATTTTCGTTAAGAAGAAGAGTTTTAAACTATCTTTTATTTACCTTAAATGTGATATTTCGTTATTGTTATGAACAGCGAGAAAGCGTAAAATTTGTGAAATGAGACAACGCGGAACTTGTTAGGAGTTCAAAGTTATTCAAAGTTTCATGGATTTTAAAAACTAAAATAGAATTTAATGAAAGCGATAGATATAACTTCCCAAATCAACTCAGTGACAATAATGAAGCTTAATCTACATAAAATAAATCCTGGAAAACAATAGAAATTTAACATTATTTAATCATTCAATGAAACCAGTTCATAATCATATCTCACTGTGATATTTAATTTTAAAATGTTATGTTACTAAAAAAGGTTTTAAAAATTTTTGAACTAAACTTTTTAAATCTATTTAAGCTAAAGATGATTAATTTATTCTGCAGTGTAATATTAACAATGAAATCCAATCTACTCTCTTGAATAAATTTGAGATGATTCCGGTCATGAAATGTGAGAAAACCATATTTCATAGGCTTTCTGTCTGGCTTTGTATGAAGGTTATTCATCTCAGTATGACAAAAGTAAATTTGTCACTTTTACAGCCATCATCCAACGACATTCATGAACGTGACTTGCTATCTCTCAGCTTTCCACTTGCTATTAACTTCGAGCATGAAGTTGAGCCATTTATATTATTATTTCATTTTGTAATCTGTTAGAACATCGTAGTTTAAAATTCTTACCAAGAGTGAGTGAGAAATAGACTTACCAATCACATTCTTTCAACGAGACGTCATATGTTAATCTGGCATGCATTTTACTTCAATTTTCTATATTCCGAATGGTTTTCACGTACAATTCTTGTTCTGAAGAAAAAAGAAGGACCAAAAGTACTTTATTGAATTGTTTGGTTAGATAACTTTAATTTGATTGTTTCAATCTGCACTCACTTGAAATCATAAAAACTTTTCCTGAGCCATTCAATTTTTCTTTTTTGTCTTTTCCCTTCTATTTTTCTACTGTATTTAACATGTCTAGTAAGGTTTTCACATTTATTTCTTCTAAGCAATTCAATATTTATTCGTTTAACGTTCATAATGATATTTACATTCCATAGCAGCTCTTATGTTACATCAAATCTTTGTTTTTACAGTAACGCATTGTTTCATTCCAATAAATGAAATGTTTTTGCTAACTAAAACAGCTTCAAAAATTCCTGTTTAATCTGTTTATTTTTTAATTATAATAAAAAGTTTCAATGAAAGTTACTCGTTAGCTCTCTTTCATTGAAGTTGTTACATTTATAAGGATATGTCGGGAACAACAGAAGATGAGAGCACAAAGTGGAAAATTTCATAAATAAATATTTGATGAGAACTTGATTTTCATCTACGTTTGTGGGTTGTTTTCCTGATGCTCTTTTTAGGATATATGCTATCAGTTTTTGGTAAGTCTTGAAATATTTATTGACGTTGAGAATTGATAAAATGATTCATGATGTGAAATCGTACATACATGAACGAGCATGCATTTATGGATTCTTCAAATACTTTTCCATTGATTTAGGCTATATTCACAGAAGTATTTCCATGTAATTGCTCAATAAATGAATTAATATCAGAATTAACTATTATGTACTTCATTCTTTTGATACATAAAATGAAATTCATATAAATTGTTATCACATTTGAACTTTAATAGTAATCATTCAATCTTTTTGAAAGATTTGTAAATATTTATAATCATAATTTAAACTTGCATATTTTTTTGTCAATTTTTAATGAACTTAAAGCGACCTTTTTTGAAGATCGTCAAGTACGCAGAATTTGATATAAATGCGACTTTAGTTATTTATATCAACAATCTCTCCTAACGACTAATCGAAAATTTGTCGAGTGTTGATATAAATAAAATTATGTAATATTTAATTAAGATTAACAATGGAAAGAATACGACAAGAATTTTTTGCTTTTGTTCTTCCATCTTTTTGTTTTATCACATTAGCTTGACGATGTTTACGAATCGAGACAACAGGAAACACTCTATTACAAATTAAAAATAATAATGGAATTTTCAGGCTCACATCAATGTCTCATCCCATATATTTATGTTTGCGATTCGAGTATCTTTATTTCATCGTTTTTCAAGATGAGTTAGAAAAACATGTTGAGAATTCTCATTCCTTCACGATGAAACTTTTATTGAATGCTCAAACAGAAAGTTTTTTTACGAGATTCTCTATTTCCGTTGCTTAGCAGCTCGTGCGGGGTTTTCAATTAACTTTAGTACACATTTTGGTTCGCTAAAAAAAAGGACGAAGAAAAAATTGTACAAATGTGATAAAGTTTTTTAATGCCACGAATTCAAGTCATTATTATGGCTAGTGTAACGAAAGGATGACGCAAAATTAAATCTGTAGATGAGTTGAATACAAATTTTTGCTAAAAGTTTTGCAATCAAAATCTTTTGTTGTTACCCTTGTTACTTTTATAACAAGGTACATACGTATGTGTATTCAAAACCGTTTTCATTTTCATGAAATTCTTTTCCCCTATAATGGTTTTACTTTGGTAACGTAACGAATTTTTGTGTATTCAACGATAAGTATGATGAAATACAGCAGAGATTAATGGCTTTTTGATGACTTTAATAATGTAAAAAGCAGTTTTACTCATGCCATAAAATTTTAGCAAGTGGCCAAACACTCTATGCAGGTGTGTTCATTATTTTATTGTTAAGTTTACGAGATTGAAAGCTTTAATATTTGTCAAGTTCACAAATCATTTTTAAAGTGATTATTACTTATTTTTTGGAAAATAGATTTAGATATGCTTCCAATATTTAAAATTCTATTATAAAAAATAAAAAGGACTGAAAACTTGCAAATTGCTTGTTGACATATTGTTAGTTAGTAAAGTTCTGTACAATCAAAACAAAATAAAACATATGAAAATGATAAAATGTCGAGGAAGCATACTTGATGCTTCGTTGCTACATAAAAAATGTTCAGCCTTTCTCAAAAGCCAACATATGTGAACACAAAACATCTGGAATTTCAAAATTCATATTACAAATAAGAAATGTCAATGTTAATAAAATATTTCTTTTTAGTATTTTTCGATCCCCATTATTTCCTCGAAAATTTATTGTGACGACTCTGATGATGTCTGCGACTAAATAAAATGAAAGCAGCGTACATTGTAAGTCTTCTCTTTAATCGACTTATTTTTTTCCGTCAATGTCAACGTTTCATTCTTTTTTATGAGCATCCACAAAGCTTCGAGTGGATAAGTTTAATGATAAAATAAAAACATTAAAAGACTAAATCACAAATTGTAATAAACATTGAGATTGTAATTGTTAAAAACAAGGTTGGACGATGTTCTGTTGCAAACAACATTAGAGAAAAGTTTTGAATACTTTCAACTTGTTGAATTTTAAAACTTTTTAAAGACTTGATAAGAATGCAAATAAAGCATTAAAACATCGTCATGGCGAAACATGGGAAGGAAAAAGAAATAACTTAAGTAGATTTCTTCTTCACATTGTTCAAAAGCTCGACTGATACATTAATCATGATACATGCAAGTTTTATCGTAAGAACGGAAATGTTTAGATGTGAATTTAACTGATAGTTTGCATGGCATCAGTGCACTTAATTGTGTATAAGTCACACTGAATTATCGAACAAATGCAGCTGCTTGAAAACCATTTCGAATATAAACTCAAATGAATGAATAATATTTAAAATATTGAAATTTTCATTGACAATGAACTGATGTTTACTTCAGTATTTCAAACTGTATTTATTTTCTCATGAAAGTTTTAAATTTTCTATTAATAAATGAGACAAAAATTGATAAAATTAAAGTAAAAACATGTCAAAATGAAATGAAACATTCAACCAACAATTTTCATAGTTTAAAGTGTCGTTCAGGTACTTTCGATTTCTTTTTTTTTCATCAAACAATCTCATAATTATGAAGAAAATTAAATTATTCTTCTTTTCTTCCTTAATTCAATTAGGATCTTTTATCTTGTCTCTTTTATACATTTATATCATCGTCTTCATCGTCATTTTATGGACTTTACGAGTGCTTGAAGTTCTTTCATTTACGCAAATTAAATAGCATTCATTCACTCATTCATTCACTTATTCATTCAAAATGAACACTTCGTTTCAAGGCTCATTAAATCATAAAATTAGTTGTTCCTTTCAGACACTTCAAATCTCTACTTTTAATTCTTTGTTTGAGAAAATTAAAAGTATTGACACTATTTATGGCTTCCTAAGGCTCTGGTGAAATTTAAATAATTTTATCCTTATGTAATTGGATTAAATAAAAAAAAACTCAACATAGATTCAGATCTTTTAAAACAACTTCAATGGAAAGAAAAAAATCTTGAAGATCCTCAATTCAAGATGATTTTCTGTCAGTTTTGATTATTCAATACCTCATTTTCAATACCAAAGCAATTGATTCTGAATACTTCCATGCTTATTGAAATCACCAAATTTCATTTTGAGCTCCTTTCTTGAAACATGACACGATTCTTTGGAATTTTCGATATCGAAAATTTTCCTTTTTCTGTTAGGCATCTTAAAACAATTTTATTTCATCATTAAAAAATAAAAAAACAAGATTTAAAAATTCTAGAACAATCCATTTTTTATATTTAAAAGAAAAATTCAAACGAAGAACATGCAAAGTGTAAATCTAGATCTGATAATAACGACATTTAGGATGAAGGAGTAATAACATAATAAAAGAAATCAAAGTGTTGATAAAGGTTAGAGATTTGTAATTAAAGTCAATTTTATACTCAATATTTTTTAAAGAAAATGTTATGTAAAACATTTTTCTTTGTTTTCCCTCCCTCAGTTCCTATTTTGAAAGTCAAAGAGTTTTTTTAATGACTTGCAAATTGAAGAGTCTCGTTATTGTCATTCATTTTTCCCAGCATGAGATAATCTCGAACGGGAGCTTGAAATCATAAATAACGCTTAAAGATTCACAAGAGTTAAGTAACACTGAATCATATTAAATGTAGAAAATGTAGGATATAATCAAAAATCTGAATTTTAATAAGAACAAGGCTGTTCGCTCTAATGACATGGCAAAATGGCAAGCGTGTCGTAAAATGCTGAGTTGAACACGATCTCTAATCTCAACAAACTCATATTTTTTAATGATTTCAGCCCATACCATGGCAGATAATTTCATTTGTTAAGATAACATTGTGTATTTTAATTATGAGGTCTCACCTCGACTCTTTCTTTACGACTATGTAGGTTCATTTATTGTTAATTGTAGTTTTTCTCAAATATTTAATTTTAAAACTTTGAAGGCTTCATAAAATATCGAAACAACTAACTAACACATGACAATTGCAAATTTTTGGAAGTTATTTAAATTTTTCTGAGCAGAGTTTAAGTTGAAATGATTTTTATAATGAAATTGGAAAGATTTCCGATACCCAGCTCTGACAACATGCAACAGGCTGAAATGAATAATTTCGTTAATTTATCAGACAATGTTACATTAGATAAACCTAAATTCTTGCCTAAATTAATCCATTGAATGAGATGTGAAACTTCAAACTTTTTACTCTTATTCTTACTGCATAAATATATTGAATTTTGGTTTATTTGGTTCAGTTTAAAGTTAAATAATACATGATAAATAACAAAAGAAGAAAAAAGAGAAATGATGACATGAAATAAAAAGAAGAAAGAAAAAATTATTTATTTCTAATATTGAGGTTTAAGAAGAATGGAATAAAAAATTACTTTCATAAATTTGAATAAAAACCTCGGGGACATTACCATAATTTTTGCGTTTTCAACTTCGAGGAAAAACCTTAAAATCTAAAACCACAACAAAATGTGACTTTTTTACATCCTTGTCTCGTGAACAAAAAAGAAAATTGAAGTGTAAATGGATAAAGACAAAGTTTTCTTAGCGAGTACATAAAAATAAATGAAATAAAAGTTTTGAGTTGCTCGAGAAAATCAAGCAAGCTGACCAACAATTGATCTCAAAATTAATGTTATTACGAATTTAATGTGCATTTAAATAAAGAACTTAACAGGAGACTCTTCATAAACTTCATCGTAGGCAGATTCGCTTTAATGATGAGCAAGGGGAACGTTTATGGAAGGAATCGTTTATTTTTATTTCCACATAGATTTCAATCGAGTTCAAGAAAAACAGCTAGAAGCCTACATTCCGTACAGAAGATGAGTTTTTCAGTTAGTTCTCTCGCTAGTTATGTTTTTGGGACTGCTAGTGGTACGAAAGTATTTACATGATCGTCTTCTTCAATCATTTTTTCTTCCAGTTTTTTGTACTTATTTACTCGTGACTGATATCATTATTTTCCGCTCTCTCTTAGTTTGAAGTGAAAAAAAAGTTAGTTGGATCGAAAAAGGATTATTTTTTTCACTGAATCACGCAATGAGATGAAATGAAGCCTACAACAGATATCTATTAATGTGAGTAATCTTTTTTTCTCCTGAACTTGCTAAAGCATGCGATATTTTTCTCTCCTTTTAGGAAAAGGTTTGATACAAGCAGTTTTATCTTACATTTGTTCTTGTTGTTTACGAATTGTGATAGAAAGGCTAATAAAGGTTTTAATCCCGCAAGTCTTCAACGGTTACATGAAGGAAATTAATTCATGTTTCAAATCTCATTAACAGCTCCTAACGATAGAAAACTTTTCATATCAAAACTTAATTCGGTAAATGTAAATTGAGAATTCAATTAATTTGTAGAAGCGCTTACGGCACTAACTGAACGTAATTAATATTCATTTTCAGATTTTGACTGTTGATGGCAGTTAATTAAATACAATCACGAATAGAACTTATCATTTCTGCAAGGAAAACTAAGAAATATGTAGATATTTATTAATGATGCCTACCTACCTCAATTTAGGAGATTTTTTATCCAAAGGAAAATTTTCCGGTAATGAATTCTCCTAGATTCTATGAAAGAAATTTGAGATAAAAATAAACTTGAGAATTCTCAATGATGTCGTATCAAATTTGAGTTATTTGACTGAATATTTACAAACTGACTTCGTGAGAACTAGTAAACTATTTGCAAGTGTAAAATGTAGTGTTGAACAGTCAAAAGTGAAGTTTCCTTCCTTACATCTTATTCGATCAAAAAACCCAAGATGGAAACAAGTGCAAATTTATTTAAACAGATCTTCTATTTCTCCTGAATACTCAGATATTTATCTAAATACCGAACTCTTCTTTTGCTCTTAAGAAAACGACTGTTTTCTCACTAAAATGCTAAGTGACAAAAATCTTTACAATGTGTAGATCGATCAAGTTTAACATCTCTACATTTCTATTCACGACCACAAGAGAATTATATTCGCTTTTATTGGAACAGAAATCCGTTTCCTTTTTCCCCACCCCAAACTCTTTACCTTACAAAAAAACTTCTATTCATATATTCATATATTCATATATCTATGTTCTTTCAACA